TCTCCAGTGAGCTGGGAAAGACCCTGCAAGTGCTGGTGGTTAGGACTCGGTTCTGAGCTCATCTACATTCCACAGTGCTGACATTTCCTTTTTATAATGTATTTAGTGGAGGAGCTGCACCTTCCCGGAGTATGGCTCATGTATGACATGTCATTAACTGTATAAATGGGTCTGTGAGAGAGGGCAATTGTGTGGGTGTGTTCTTGTTTGGACCTTGTGGAATGTATAGGAAAACTAGCAGAGACATAAATGCAGAAAGCAGTTCTTCTAGTATAGCATCGCTGAAGTGTGCAGCACTGTACTGATCAATTTGAACTCTTCATGTTACCTTCTACCCTCAAATGGCTTTACATTTTACATAATAAATGCACATATTTTTTAACCTGTAAAAAAGTGCCATTATTTGTTATATTTTTTTTTTTTTTTTGGGGGGGGGGGGGAGCCAGTAAAGCATTGCACTTGTGATCAGCAGATTGCAGGTGTAGTGTCAGGTTCCTGCAGACTGTCTGTGTGGCTGTCTGCCCATACCTCCGATACAAGCAGGCAGTTAGTGAATGACTACCTAGAGAACTACAAGAAATCACCCACGAAGACTAACGGTACTTGTAGTTCATTAATTCAGAGCCCTGTGAACAAATGATTGCAGCCTTGTGGGCGAAGCCCCATACTACCACGTTCTTTTTGAATTGTCACATTGGGAAGAGGATCCCTGGGCTGCCACCACGGAGTAAAGGAATGAATCGGGGAGGCAGCAGGCAGATGCTGAATATGTTACACCCTAAATGTGGGTGTAACATATGCATAAAGGTGAACTTATCCTTTTTTAAATTTTGTGGCTAGCTGCAAAACTTTGCAACAAGCCAATGCCCTGTCATTAAGCTACAGAATGCTTGGGAATTCATTACATTGATCTTTTGCCTGCAACTTTTTATTCTAGCAACAAAAAGGTATATTCTATAGATACTGCAAATGATGACTGCTACAGAATTGCCCAAGTAACATGGGCCTGAACTGTGGAGGTTGTGGCCAAAAGACGCAAGCAGAGAGCACGCAACTACCCACTAGTATGGTTTCCTCTTGTACCAAATTGTATTGTAATTGTAATGTCTACCTTCATGTAAAGCGCTGCACAAACTGTTGGCGCTATATAAACACTGTATAATAATAATAATAAAAGTACTGACTATATGCACACTGCAGTAGCCCTTTTCACACCAATAACGACTTATGTCCTATGTGCTACACTTCATCTCTGTGTCTAGGTGACAGTTTTTTGGTAGAGCAGTAGACATTTGATTCCTAATGTGGAGCTCTCTACTGGAGAGGGAATATTCAAGTAACATCTGGGGAGATGTTTAAATAAAAGATCTATAGAATAGATGAAGCAGAAGTATGGAGATACTTGCATTTCTCTCTGGCAAGGAGTACATTGACCACTGTAGTGACATTAGCAAATCTTACTCCATATCTTCTGGGAATAGCCATATCTCTCTCACTTTTTTTTTTAGCTGGAATTCCAGATGAAATGTACATTTTGTAAGATATTTGGGGACAATTGACATTTCTAGCTGTTTCCTATGACATAGAAAATCTTCACTTTTTGAGCTCAGGTCTGTGTAAAGAAATTGCTTTCTGATACTTTCATAACTAACTTCATAACTAATAAAATATTGATGTTAATTTAAAAACCTCGCTAAAACGGTTTTATACTTTTGCCAGCTTTTGGAATTATGATTGTGACCCCCAAGTGCAGGCCTTCTGGCAGTTATTCTACTCAGTTTGTCAGTCCTGCTCAAAGGCCATTTGAAGCTGATTATTCTGCCAGTTTGTTTTCCATGCATTTGCCTTTTTTTCCCCTAGGTCAGGGGTCTGCAACCTTTAAGACATAAAGAGCCACTTGGACCCGTTTCCGAGAGGGAAAAAAAGACTGGGAGCCGCAAAACCATTGCAACATTTAAAACAAATCCGACACTGCATATATTGCAAAAAGCGCTCTGGTCATGAAGGGGGTTTAAGGGCCCAGTAAGCAAAGGGTTAATCAGGGCCACAGTGTATCGTCATAATCACAATCATAGCCTTAGGTCAGTGGTGGGCAACCTTTTCAACTGAGCCAAATCTCGCCAAAACCACGATTAAAATTTATTTTGAGAGCCACATTTTTAAAACTGAAAATACATCCCCCATATAGTAATTCATCCCCCATAGTAATTCATCCCCCCTATAGTAATTCATCCCCCCTATAGTAATTCATTCCCATATTGTGTCAATTCACTTACCTGTACTCCGCGCGTTCCTCTCGCCGTGTTCCCGCGCAGTTCTGGTCTTCAGGGCGGACTGTGAGAGGAGTTCGTCACGCTGCCCCGCCTACATCCTGACAGCCAATGTTTGCCACGCTCCGCGGGCCGGATTATAAGGTCCGCCGGGCCGTAGTTTGCCCATTGCTATGCTAGCTGCAGAGTCCTGACTTTTGGGGCGGCCGCCTGAGAGGAGGGAGGGGAGCGGGCGCCCGGCACACAGAAGAGCTGCATTAACCTCCCTGGCGGTATGATTCCTTCCGATTTTTTGTGCTGAAAGCGGTACCATTTTTTCGCATGGAAATAGTTTTTTATTGTAGGCTGTAATTTTTAGGAAAATTTCCCCACAAATCATTATCACTCAATTCTGCAAGTGGTTCTGATTTACTATCGCTGTTCTCTAGCCGGTCTAAAACCGCTTTTGACCTAAAGGGACGCTTTTTGGACGCCATGGACTTTTCTAAGTTTCCAGGCAGAAAGAACAGACAAAATGCAGGCAGGGCACAGGACAAAGCACTAGGGACAAAATGTATGTGAAATGGGATGAAACAGCAATGTTTTACTATTGAAAATTGAAAAAAAAAAAAAGACATTTTTTAAATTTTTTAAATTTCCCGCCGCCGGCGGCGCCCGTACGTCCCGACGTCACGGGGACCGGAACACAGAAGCCGGATGCCGGCATCGGCCGGAGGAGATGGCTGGGGACGCTGCAGGGGACACATCGCGGGAACGAAGGACAAGGTAAGTGCTGCAGGGACCCCCAGAGCAGCGCCGCATGGTAAGCCTGAGTGTAGCTCGTGGTATAGAAATTCTACCACGAGCTACACTCGGGAAAACCGCCAGGGAGGTTAAAAGAGCAGCGGCTTGCCGACCACTGAGCTACGGCAACCCTATTGCCTGTCACCTGGTGGGCAGTGTGCTCCGGAGCCGCAGCAAAGGTGAAAAAGAGCCGCATGCGGCTCTGGAGCCGCGGGTTGCCGACACCCGCCCTAGGTGCTCAGTTTCCTACCACAATCCAAAGAAAAACCCTATAAAGACCATGTCTCTGTTGGGTACTGAACCCAGAAAGCCAGTGTGCTTACTACTGTGTAGGAAATATAAACACACATTAGCGCCTCCCTATAACATCTTTTGTTAAGTTATCGTAGAAGGGCCCGTAACACCTAACATTATAGTGCCGGGACCCTACCCAAGAGGAGTATTTACACTTTCTCAGTCAAATTTGAGAAAATGCACTCACAGCAACTCAGTAACTTGCAGCGCTGTTCCAAGTGCCCTTCAGTACTGTCACTTCAGTGGTCCACAACTAGAAGAGGGTGCAGGCATTCTGAAAGCTCATCCGGCTAGAATTTAGTCATATGGTGTGACATACACTGCACACCACTGACTCACTCAGCATGTGATATAATGTAAAAATGGCTTCTGCCTCGGCTCTTCCTAGGCCACAACTGACAAGTTCACCCTGCTCCCGGGGCTTAATCTATTATTAAGCCCTGGGGCAGGGCAAAGACTCTGCTTGCCTGTAGATCACGGGTGTCAAACTGGCGGCCCTCCAGCTGTTGCCAAACTACAAGTCCCATGAGGCATTGCAAGATTTACAGTTACAAACATGACTCCCAAAGGCAGAGGCATGATGGGACTTGTAGTTTCGCAACAGCTTGAGGGCTGCCAGTTTGACACCCCTGCTGTAGATGGATTGAGTCTCTGCCAGTCCCTGCTGAACCATGATTTGATCCATCCATGGCCAGCTTAAGTCTCTTAACTTCCAAATTATTTGAAATGTTTAGGCAGTTATGAGATTTAAACATCACTGTCACTCTCCACCACACATTAGTAAATATCACTCTCCATGCTCATTAAAAGATAACTATGGCCAAAGATGTTTTAGCCATACTTCTCTTGTGGGTCACAGGAGTACACTTACTTTTGTTGTTCTTTGACCCATGAGGCAGAGCCGCTCAAGGTTCAGTCGGGTGGATCCCGACAATATTGGGATCCTTTCAGAGTAACAGCTGGCTCTGCTTCTGAGCACATGGCTGAGAGCCGGAGCCAGCTGTACCTTCCTCCTCCACGGCCAAGTGCTCCAGTGAGTGCTGGAGGGGCAGAGTGGAGAGCAGTGGCTGATGGTCACTACTCTGTGCTCCAAGCAGGCCAAGAGCTGAGCAATCAACAGTCATGTGATCAAGCAGTTCTCTTTCTTAGAGTGGATGTAGCACAGATGCAGCATCACATCGCTCCTGCAGCATAGAGATGAGTATGTATGTTTGTTTTTTTTTTTTTCATAACCCCATACTACTCCTTTAAGTTTGCTAATTGGACAAAGGTTTTGATGTTTCATTCAGTGTGGCAGTAATTGTAAAACAACTGCTAATCGGACAAAAAAAAATTGGCAGATAAAACCGCCAACATTTTTTAATACATTTATTCTATATATCTAAATGTTCTTTCTGGCACTCTGGCTTTAAGATCTCCTGCTTAACATGTCACAGTTGGGCAGGTCTACTTCCATGAAGCGGACAAAGTTTCTCCTGTTCTACACTGTGTACTGTGTTGTCATTCATCCTGATGCTATGTCAAAAAAGGCCTTGACCTGACAATTTTTGTGCTTTTTGTTACTGGACTATGCATTAGCTTCTCTTTTGATTTAATGACACATGTATCACTCCAGTATAGAACATTATTTTTTAAAAACAATTTCTTTATTTCCTTTTAGGCTCCAGCAATTGACGGGATCCGAATAACCATGGAGAGTGCCTTAACAGCCCGAGATCGGGTTGGTGTCCAGGACTTTGTCCTGCTAGAGAACTACACCAGTGAAGCAGCATTTATAGAAAACCTGAGGAAGAGGTTTAAAGAAAATCTAATTTATGTAAGTTATTGACCTGTGTCATAGGTGTGGCTGAGCTGTGATTTCAAAACGTAAATATTGCTAATGTTGACTTAAATTAACAGTCTAGTGATGTCATGGAGGAAACGGTCATAAGGAACATGCATGCCTATTTAAGGGTTATGAGAAGGGTGTTGTCATCCTTAAACACAGTAATTATTTGTCATCTTTTTAATAATGTTAAAAAGCAATAAGTACCTTTTATAAATGTAATATTAGTGCTAAAAGAGCAGCTACATGTAAATATATTAGCATACAAGCTCACTATGGTTGAACTTCAGGAAAAACCATTTTACGTCAAAATTCAGTTTAAGCAGTCTTTTTTTTTTTTCCCCTTCAGAAGTGTGGGAAAGGGTTAGAACCTCGGTCAGCATAAAATGATCTTCTAACCAAGTGGCCTCAAGCGCAGGGCTCTTACTCTCCTATACAGGAACACACATTCATGTGGCAATAGTTATGCCTGGTTATGTGCTTTGCATAGGTACAAATGCTGGAATGAAGCCTGTGCTCAGCATGGGTACTAGAACCATAGACAATTTACAACTTCCCTTAAAGGATAGCTGCATAACGTATCTTTTGGAAAGGTCATTGAGAGCCAAGTGTAAAATGTTAATCACAGTTACCACCATGCTGCCTTTCCAAGACACAGCGCTCCCACAACAGGAATGCCGCAGTACTATTAGCTTAATGATTATGGTCCTTATGCTTTCTACTTCCACTCTATTTCGGAATGAATCAATCGCTTGAAAGGGTGGCCCCACAGACTTCTCATGCCAAGGCTAATTCCATTATAAGTAGCTAATACTTCATACCACCTTTCTGTATCATCCTTCACAGCAGCGCTCAGATGTCAGTGCATTGCAATACAGAGCGTGGCAACAACCCCTCTCCCCATCCACTGCTAGGGAGGACAGAGCATTAGTATATTGCTACTCCCCCATTCTCCAATCGTAGACTGTGGTGGGCCCTAAACAGGCCTGGACTGGGACAAAAAATAGGCCCAGGCAGTTTGGACCGAGCAGCCCAAAGCCTGTGGACCCTTTCCTCGGAACACGGTAGCGGAACACCAGGGCCTGGACGCAAGAGCGTCCTTTGCAACCCTGCTAGTTCCGCCACTAGTGTCAGTAGGTTTTTATTTAAATTTGGTTTACAATTTTATATTTTATTTTTTTTGTAGGAGAGAAGGAAGGAGGGAAGGAAGGAGGAAATGGAGGGAAGAAAGGGAGGGAAACAGGAGAAAAAGAGTGATGTATAGAAGGAGGGAAAGAAGGGAAGGAAGGAGGGAAACAGGAGAGAGAGAGAGAGACATATAGAAGGAGGGAAAGAAAGCGGGAGACAGAGATAAAGAAAGATGTATAGAAGGAGGGAAACTGGAGACAGAGAGAAATAAAGTGAAACGGGAGAGAGAAAGAAAGGAGAGAAACAGGAGACAGAGAAAAAGTATAGAAAGAAAGAGACACGCACAAGGCTGGCAGTGAGTGTGTGTGGGGCGGGCAGGAGGAGGAGGGGCAGAACCAGCTTTCTCTCTCCTCTCCCATCTGTGGTGGGGGGCGGGGAACTGTCAGCACTGGGGGGGTGAGCATACAGGAGCCCAAGGCATGCAGGAGATGGATAGGAGGAACGGTCAGGCGGCACATACGTTGCAAAAGTGCAGTATATAAGTCTAAAACACTGACCCCTTCCTCTTCCAGCTTCTGCTGGCATCGCTCTCCAGGCTACTATTAAGGTCCCAGGTGAAGTGCATTTGTTATCACTCTGGGACAGTAAATGGTGCTACAGAGGAAGAATCAGCTTATGTAGCTCTTGCTTCCTCAGCGACCACTTAATTCCTCTGCTGCCAGCTCGATGCACTCTTGATGCTCTGGGATTGTGGGTTGGCAAGACCAGATCATGATCAACGGGTTGTTGACCCCTGGGCATGGGCTTCCCTGGTTTGAGGTTGTGGCCCGTGTTGAGCACCCCTGGGTCTAACCTTTTTCCATTGTCCCACGCCAAAACATATAAAAGAGTTAGGCAAGAGAAATGTATAACTTGTGGAAAATCACTTTAGAGGGACCCTGTCAATTGAAAAAATTAGTACAGTTCTCTCAAGTTTTTTAAAATACTTACTTGCAGTGTATTTCCTTTAGATAGATAAATTACCTTATTTTAACTTGCAGTGTGACTTTGCTAGAAAATATGACTATGTCATCCGAATCTGTTACCTAACACAGTCCCCTTCCTCCTTGCATGTCATAGCCATCTCCTCTTTCAGGAGTGGCTAATTATGTGCTGCCCCAGCTCCTCTGCCCTTCCCTCTCTCCTCCCTATATAGCAATATGTAGCTGCTGGTAGAGATGCAAAATGGCGGCACCCGGCAGCAATCTCAGGGCTTTTGGATGTTTACCAAGGGGATCTTTTCAGGTTAATAACTTGCTGTATAAGTTTTGGTGTGTGTCTGGTACATAAAAGCCTTGAAGGTGTTAAAATAAGCTCATGGGTGCAGTAGCAGCCATAAGCTCTTTTCTCATTTTTGTTTTTTCTCTTTTGTTAAGCAGCTTTAAGTAAAAGTGTTTTGGGAGGCTGAAGAGCCACCAAATCAGTTTTATGTGACTGAGACTCATCTCTGCCAACAGACAATTATTGCCACTGCTGCTGAAACATTCTGAAGTAAAACAAATATAAAGACCTATAGAATGAGACTCAAGCATAAGGGTGTTCGGTTTGTTGCTCTGATTTTCTATCCTAGCCCTTCAAATATCTGTAAATACAGTAGTTTGTAAGAGCCCAATGTCTTTTCGTTGGGAGAACATCTGTACACTTCATGTTTTCCATTAGGACAGACGCGTCCTCAGCCAACGAGTCGCTTGGGAGGAGCAGAGAGTGAATAGGATGCAGACTCAGCTGAAAATCACAGCAGGCAGTTGCAAAATGAAATTTAATTAAACTGTAGCAAAAGAACTCTGTATACAATATCAAAACACGACCATGTCACAAATGGAGCACATGTGCAAAATTCCCCACTCTTATCCTACGACACACCACCTAATAAACACCTAACATTATACCTTAAGCATCTTCTGGTTATGCTTTGTTATTGATCACATTTAAAGCCTACTCACAATTGTGTATTTAAAGAATCTGCTTTAAAAGGAGAACTGTGGGATCAAGCCTGAGAACTGAGCAATCTTGTGACCGCTGCTTGCTCAGTTCTTGGGTCCACTTGAACAGGGCAGTCACTGTCGGTCACCACTACTGCTCTTTGCTGTGCCCCTCCAGCACTCAATTGAACACTGGACAGGAGAAAGGGCTGATCAGGCATTTGGGTGGATGCATCCCAACATTGTCAGGATCTCTCCAGAGTCTGTAGTGGCTCTTTGACTTCAGCCAACAGCGGGCTTTAGCCCTCTCTTGGCTGATTCTGGTTACTGGAGAGCTGAACTAAGTGCGTTCCTGCGACCCACATGGCTAAAAGTGCTTTGACAGTATTTCTCTTTTGAAGTAGTCTGGAGAGTATTTTTTAGTAGCTAGTGATTCAGTTTTTTGGGGTGAGATGTTAGACCGGTTTCTGCACTTGATAATATATAAAATAAACTTATGCCAGATGTTTAATATGGGGCCATTCATGCTGATGTAGATTAAAGAAAAATCATTCCAAAGATATCCTGGTTTGCCTGCAGACATATGGTCTCTTCATTAGTCAGAAAGAAGCGAGAGGGGAGGAGGAAGCAAAAGCATTAAAGAGATCACGCCTCTCTGTACTAGCTGAATGGCGGCCAAAGCCAGAGTTGCAAATTTCAGCCCTGAAGTCCTTCAAATTGTGCAAACGTATATTAAGGTTAAATTGTAAATCTTCCAACTGAACTGTGCCTCTCATTTATACGGCTGTCTGCTGCAGTAATTCAGTTTTTTTTTTTTTTTTTTTTGCTTAACACGATAAAATATATTTTGTCCAAAGAATGCTGGAGGTGCCAAATGATACCTGTGCTCTACTGTATGTAAGATCAAAACACAAAACTGCTTCTAAATATACTGGCTTTAGGCCATAGTGTGTATGTATGCATGTACAGTTAGGTATATGTTTGGACACAGGGGCAGTTTTAGATTTTTTCAGGTACTTACCAAAACATATTCAGTCTATAGTTCTATAATTGATAAGGGCTTAAAGTGCACACACTCAGATTTAATTTGAGAGTACAGTTGTGTTCAAAATAATAGCAGTCAGGCATCACTAACCTGATCAATCACTGTTATTGGTAGAAATTATATTTCTACATGGCAAATAATTTACTAGCAGGTGTAGTAGAGTAATAGAAATCCAACAGACCCAACAGTCATGACATTCATGCTGCTGATTCTGTGTAATTAAATCACTAATTGAAAGGGGCATGTTCAAAATAATAGCAGTGTGGAGTTCTATTAGTGAGGTCATTCATTCTTTGAAAAACGGCTGGCAATTATTGACCTTATTTAAGGAAGGAAGGCAGCAAATGTTGTACATGCTGGTTACAGTGCATTTCTCTCTGAAATTCTGAGGAAAATGGGTCGTTCCAGACATTGTTCAGAAGAACAGCGTACCTTGATTAAAAAGTTGATTGGAGAGGGGAAAACATATAAAGAAGTGCAGAAAATGATAGGCTGCTCAGCTAAAATGATCGCAAATGCTTTAAAATGGCAACCAAAACCTGAAAGACGTGGAAGAAAGCAAAAAACTACCATTTGAATGGATAGAAGAATAGCCAAAATGGCAAGGACTCAGCCAACAATCAGCTCCAGGAAGATCAAAGAAGGTCTAAAGTTACCTGTGAGTACTGTTACAATTAGAAAACGCCTATGTGAAGCCAAGCTATCTGCAAGAAGCCCCCGCAAAGTCCCACTGTTGAAAAAAAGACGTGCTGAAGAGGTTACAATTTGCCAAAGAGCACATTGACTGGCCTAAAGAGAAATGGCGCAACATTTTGTGGACTGATGAAAGTAAGATTGTTCTTTTTGGGTCTAGTGGATGGAGACAGTTTGTCAGACGACCCCCAAACACTGAATTCAAGCCACAGTACACTGTGAAGAGCGTGAAGAATGGTTGCGCAAGCATCACGATATGGGGATGTTTCTCATACTATGGTGTTTGGCCTATTTATCGCATACCAGGGATCATGGATCAGTTTGAATACATCAGAACACTTGAAGAGGTCATGCTGCCTTATGCTGAAGAGGAAATGCCCTTGAAATGGGTGTTCCAACAAAACAACGACCCCAAACACACCAGTAAACGTGCAACATCTTGGTTCCAGACCAACAAGATTGCTGTTATGGAGTGGCCAGCCCAATCCCCGGATCTTAATCCAATAGAAAACTTGTGGGGTGACATCAAAAATGCAGTTTCTGAGGCAAAAACCAAGAAATAGAGAAGAACTGTGGAATGTAGTCCAATCATCCTGGGCTGGAATACCTGTTCACAGGTGCCAGAGGTTGGCTGACTCCATGCAACACAGATGTACAGCAGTTCTCAGAAACAGTGCTTATACAACTAAATATTAAGTGATTCAAAGGAAAGCAAAATCTTCAAATATTTTTCAGTTTATATAGTGAATGTTTGAGTTTGTAAAGAAGAATACAAACACTGCTATTTTTTTTGAACAGTCTAATATTTACTTTTCTTCAAATTTTTTAGAGGAACAACACATTTAATATATTTTTCTTCATGTTTTGATTTGGAATAGAAGGTGTAGTGTTCCCAATGCATTTGTGTGTATGGAAATAAAAGCTATTAGAAGGATTCTGAGCTTTATTCACTTTTTTCAACACACTGCTATTATTTTGAACATAGCTGTACATCCAAATTGGAGAAAGGATTTAGGAATTACAGCTCTTAACAGTAGGTATCCCCCTTTTTTCAAAGGACCAAAAGTAATTGGACAATTGAATCAAAAGTTGTTTCATGGCCAGGTGTGGGCTACTCCAATATTTCTTTATCAATTAAGCAGGTAAAAGGTCTGGTGTTTATTCTAAGTGTGGTATTTGCATTTAGAATCTATTGCTGTAAACCTACATCATGCGTTCAAAGGAGCTGTCAATGCAAGTGAAACAGGCCATTGTAAGGCTTCAAAAACAAATCCATCAGAGAGATAGCAGCACCATTAGGAGTGGCCAAATCAACAGTTTGGTACATTCTGAGGAAAGAAGAACATACTGATAAAAAGGCATGGATATCCACTGAAGACAACAGTGGTGGATGATCGCAGGATCCTCTCTATGATAAAGAAAAACACCCATTCACAACATCCAGACAAGTGAAGGACACTCTCCAGGAGGTGGGCATATCATTGTCAAAGTCTACAATCAAGAGAAGATTTCACAAGATAAAATACAGAGGGTTCACCACAAGGTGCAAACCACTCATAAGCCTGAAGAATAGAAAATCCAGATTAGACTTTGCCAAACAACATCTAAAAAAACCAGACCAGTTCTGGAAAAGCATTCTTAAGACGGTTGAAACTAAGATTAATCTGTACCAGAATGACGGGAAGAAAAAACAGATGGACAATGATCCAAAACACTGCAAAAGCAACCGAGGAGCTTTTGAAAGTAAAGAAGTTGAATATTCTGCAATAGCCGAGTCAATTACCTGATCTCAACCCAATTGAGCATGCATTACACTTGCTGAAGGCAAAACTAAAGGCAGAAAGACCCACAAAGAACCACTGAAGACAGCTGCAGTTAGAGCTTGACAAAGCATCAGAAAGGAGGAAATCCAGTCTTTGGTGATGTCCATGGGTTCCAGACTTCAGGCAGTCATTGCCAGTAAAGGATTATCAACCACATAATTAAAAATAAACATTTTATTTATGATTATATTTATTTGTCTAATTACATTTGAGCTCCTGAAAATGAAGGGACTGTGTATATAAATTGTAGCAGTTCCTAAAATTTGTACTTGATATCTATGTTCAACCCCTTGAATTAAAGCTGAAAGTCTGCACTTCAAATTCATTTGGATTGTTTTTCGTTTTAAATTCTGCTGGCATACAGAGCCAAAAGTATGAAAATCGTGCCTGTGTACATAAATATAAAAAAAAAATATATATATATATATATATATACCTAACTGTATCTCTCTCCTCCCCCCTTATCGCTCTCTCTCCTCCCCCCTTATCGCTCTCTCTCCTCCCCCCTTATCGCTCTCTCTCCTCCCCCCTTATCGCTCTCTCTCCTCCCCCCCCTTATCGCTCTCTCTCCTCCCCCCTTATCGCTCTCTCTCCCTCCCCCCTTATCGCTCTCTCTCTCTCTCCTCCCCCCTTATCGCTCTCTCTCTCTCCTCCCCCCCTTATCTCTCTCTCTCTCCTCCCCCCCTTATCTCTCTCCCCCCCTCCTCTCTCTCCCCCCCTCTCTCCCCCCCCTCCTCTCTCCCCCCCTCCTCTCTCTCCCCCCCCCCTCTCTCTCCCCCCCCCTCTCCCCCCCCCTCCTCCCTCTCCCCCCCCTCCTCTCTCTCCCCCCCCTCTCTCTCCCCCCTCCTCTCTCTCCCTCCTCTCTCTCCCTCCTCTCTCTCTCTCCTCTCCCCTCTCTCCCCCCCCTCCCCCCCTCTCCCCCCCCCCCCTCCCCCCTCTCCCCCCCCTCTCCCCCCCTCCCCCCCTCTCCCCCCCCCCCCCCCTCTCCCCCCCCTCTCCCCCTCTCTCCCCCCCCCTCTCCCCCTCTCTCTCCCCCCTCTCTCCTCTCTCTCCCTCTCTCTCCCCCTCTCTCCCCCTCTCCCCCCCCTCTCTCTCTCTCCCCTCCCCTCTCCCCTCTCCTCCCCCCCTCTCTCCCCCCTCTCCCCCCTCTCTCCCCCCCCCTCTCCCCTCTCTCTCTCCCCCCTCCTCCCCTCTCTCTCCCCCCCTCCCCCCTCTCTCTCCCCCCTCCCCCCTCTCCTCCTCCCCCCCTCTCTCCCCCCTCTCTCTCCCCCTCTCTCTCCCCCCTCTCTCCCCTCCCCTCTCTCTCTCCCCTCTCTCCCTCCCCTCTCTCTCCCCCCCCTCTCTCTCTCCCCCCCCTCTCTCCCTCTCCCCCCCTCTCTCCCCCCCTCTCTCCCCCCCCTCTCTCCCCCCCCTCTCCCCCCCTCTCTCCCCCCCTCTCCCCCCCCCTCTCCCCCCCCCCCCCCCTCTCCCCCCCCCCTCTCTCCCCCCTCCCCCTCTCTCCCCCTCTCTCTCCCTCTCTCTCCCCCCTCTCTCCCCTCTCTCTCCCCCTCTCTCCCCTCTCTCTCCCCCTCTCTCCCCCCCACTCTCTCCCCTCTCCCCCCTCTCTCCCCTCTCTCTCTCCCCCCTCTCTCCCCCCTCTCTCCCCTCCCCTCTCTCCTCTCTCTCCCCCCCCCCCCCTCTCTCCCCTCTCCCCCCCCCTCTCCTCCTCTCTCCCCCCCCTCTCCTCCTTCTCTCTCCCCTCTCTCCCCCCCCCTCCCCCCCCCTCTCCTCCTCCTCTCCCCCCCATCTCTCTCCCCCCCATCTCTCTCCCCCCCCCCCCATCTCTCTCTCCCCCCCCTCTCTCCTCCTCTCTCTCTCTCCCCCCCCTCTCTCCTCCTCTCTCCCCCCCCCCCCCCCCCCCCCCATCTCTCTGGCAAGTTACCTGTAGTACTTTCTCTGACTTGATCATGTTCTCTTTACAGACATACATTGGGTCAGTCTTGGTATCTGTCAATCCATATAAAGAGTTGGAGATTTACAGCAAGCAACACATGGAGAGATATCGTGGAGTTAGTTTCTATGAAGTGTCTCCTCATATGTAAGTGTCACTTTTTGTAAGATCCAAAAATCCATTATTCATTCTAATCAAGGATCCAGTTCATCTCGAGAGCTATTAAAAAAAAAAAAAAAACACATTGATACAGTTGCAAGATATCTATCATGTGTTACTTATTTTATTTCATATAAAATTCTTATGTAGGATTCAATCAAGAACCATTTAATAAGTTCTTATGTCTTTAAAATTCACCTGTTTGTATTCAGCCTTTCTTGGACCTTGACTTTCACTTATACTTTGAAGTTTTATAAAAAAAAATCTTTCTAGTAAATATTGCTTTTCCAGTGCTATACAGGGCCTCAAAAGATTCTAGGGGGCAAATGTTTCATATTTTCAGCTCTATGGTTACAACCAAAGGTCTTCCTAACAAAATACAAAAGGTATATTGGGTTTCAGAGCAGGAAATATAGCACAGAACACTGTATCACCTTCAAAAGTGCTTTTGGTTAAATTCTGATTGTAGGAGCTGGAGCTGGGAGACCTCCACTTCATGTACAAAATGTTGTATTTATTTTTTGCAGTGGGTAAAATTAGAGGTGAATTATATTGAGAAGTTGGATGTTTGTTCTGGTGATACATGATACTGACATTTTCTAATCCTTCCTCAAGAAAGGCGTTTACTTTTATGCTTTAAGAGCAGTATTAACTAGTTTCTTTTTTCACAAGAAAATGTTTTAGCCTTTAAAACTAAATTGTTCAAAGGAAGAATTCCAATGTTTGCTGCCAACGGATTTTTCCTTTCTGTTACAGGCTACTTTTTGCTGGTCTGCCCTGGAAATATGGAAAGATTTCTTTTCCGTTTATGGGTTGGCCTATTTCTTTCGTGCCACAACTTCTCTGTGTGTTATTTTTTGACCAGTGTTTCTGAACTATTTGCTGGTTGCTAGGCTACAGTGGACCTAAAGCTCAAAGAATTTGTGTGTTTTTATATATGATGTATTATTTTCTAGTTCCCAGAAAAAAAGTAACATTTTAATGTTTTTTGTCTTCTCATCAAAGTTTAACTTAAAACAACTAAATACACTGCTCAAAAAAATTAAAGGAACACTTTTTAATTAGAGTATAGCATAAAGTCAATTAAACTCCTGGGGTATTGATCTGGTCAGTTAAGTAGCAGAGGGGATTGTTAATCAGTTTTAGCTGCTTTGCCGTTAATGAAATTAACAACAGGTGCACTAGATGGGCAACAATGAGAACACTCAAAACAGGAATGGTTTTACAGGTGGAGGCCACTGATATTTTTCCCTACTCATCTTTTCTGACTGGTTTTCACTAGTTTTGCATTTGGCTGGGGTCAGTGTCACTACAGGTAGCATGAGGCGATACCTGGACCCTACAGAGGTTGCACAGGCGCACAATATGTGCAATTGCCATAAGGTTTGCCGTGTCTCCCAGCACAGTCTCAGGAGCATGGTGGAGATTCCAGGAGACAGGCAGTCTCTCTTGGAGAGCTCAACAGGGCCGTAGAAGGTTCTTAACCCATCGGCAGGACTGATATCTGCTCCTTTATACAAGGAGGAAAGGGATGAACACTGCTAGAGCCCTACAAAATGACCTCCAGCAGGCCACTGTTGGGAATGTCTCTGGCCAAACACTCAGAAACAGACTTCATGAGGGTGGCCTGAGGGCCCAACATCCTCTAGTGGGCTCTGTACTCCCTGCATAGCACCACAGAGCTCAATTGGCCTTTGCCATTGAACACCAGAATTGGCAGATCCACCACTGGCGGCCTGTACTTTTTCACAGATGAGAGCAGGTTCACCCGGAGTACATGTGACAGACGTGAACCTAAAAAAAGGTTTACCTGTGGTTACAGTGAATTTCCCCTAAATGTGCACCGTTTAAGAAATATTTACATTTGTGGCAGCCAGTGATGTCACTGGTGCATGCGCAATGCGCTCTCAATAGATAGCATACCATCTATTGGGAGACCTGTGCCGCAGCCATGCTCGGGAGTAACATCATTGTGGCTCAACCATTCAAACAGCTGGAACCAGTGGACCCAGAAGGGAGACCAGAAGACTATGTGAAGCCCTGTCAGTGGTGACCGCATACTGCTAAAGAGATCCATTTTGTAGGTCATAATGTGCTTTTTTTTTTTTTTTTTTTTTTTTTTCTTTTAAATAAATTTCAGATTAACAAATATCAGGTGACTGCCACTTGTATGCAAATCATTAACAGGTTTTATTGTAACAGTTATAACCCCTCTCCAAGATGCTCCTTTTTTAAGGGCTCCTTTGCTCATCTGCATAATACTGCTGTATTCCCCTTCACAACAGCCAACATGGAATTGATGTACAGCTGTTTAAGGGTTTCGGAAGTGATGTTCAGAGTAGAAGCAGAAACTATCCACTCCATTCATTGATGTAGGTGACTGCAGTAACAAAGATCCCCTCTTAATTGTTATTTAGTGGTAGAAACAAAAGAACCCCCTTCACTAGTGTTAACTTATCTGAACAGATGCCAGTATACGGCTTCCCCCCTCCAGTGGTCTAGCTGGACTACAGTCAGGTAGGGTGAATTCCACCTGACAGGCAGTGCCAGGTCTATTTCAAGTATTGTGTGTAGACTGTTTCCAGCACTCAGCACCATTCTGTCATTCTGCATTGTTTCTGAAATCTTGAGGGACTCAAAAGAAGACCTTTTGACTGCCAGTTGGATAGCGCTGCACTAGATCTATGTGACCAAAATATACCCGTGCTTGAAGAATTATATACGCACAAACACAAAGTACTTTGCATACTGCAAGTCCCATGAAAGAAATTCATATTTTATGGTTTCATTGTAGGAGTTTGGGACTGAAAAGACTCTTTGTCTTGGCTTGGTACTCGTGCTTTCAGTGTGACTGCTATAGAGCACAGCCCAGTTAGTGCACAGTTCAATCGTCTCTCTTCAGGGATGCTTAGCCCATGATTGCATCACTGTATCCACCATATGCTGTCACATTACTTGTCAGCAGAACTGGTTATAGTTTATGGCGAGGTGCATCGTAGTGCTGTGGCAGTAAACTCTCAGAATCCAGTTGCAGGAAACAGCTTGATTAAGTTTAACCCCTTCACGCCTAAGGGTAAAACAAATATTAAAGCCTCAGTAAAATTTTACAACTTTGACGTGTTGGTAAAACCGTACATGTCATCACAACTACTTTATACATCCAGGTGAATTATACCTTGGTTTTTTTCAGGACAAATTGGGCTTTCAAGTGGTGGTAAATGGTAATCGATATCTCCTGATTTTTTTTTTTTTGTTTTGTTTTCTTATCAAAGGTAAACTGGCCAAAAATAGTAAACAAAAAAAATTATTTTTTTCTAAATTTTAGCTGTGTTGTTGTTACTATCATAATCTACCACCAAAGAACAACCCAAAATAAAATACATTTTCCAGCTCTTGACAATCACAGAAATTCCATATATGTGTATGTCATTTGTTTGTACCTGTACTACAGCCCTGAAACAATAGTGCGCATTTTGTTCGTTTTTTTTTAACTAAAACACTGACACTGATGCCAATTTAAAAAAAAAATGACCTTTTGACCCTGACCTTGACCTAAACCCTAACCTTGACACTGAACTAGGTCAAACCTTGATCTTGGGCATCTTTTCTTTGTTTGTAAAAAAAAAAGGTAAATATTAAAAATAGTTTTTTTTTTTTCTCTATGCAAGGGGAGAGAGAGATGCAATGCATCTCCTCCAGAGAGGAAAAAAAACAAGGGGGGCAGGCTTCACAGTGACTGATCACTGTGGTAGCCAATCAGAGGCTATCACAGTGATCATGTGACCTGGAATCGGGAGTCCCGATCATTAGAACTGGACCCGGGGCTTTCAGTGACACCTCAGTTTTTGTGCTGGGAGACAGGTTCCTACACTACCCGCACACGAAATTTGCCAAGCCCAGGAGCCAGAGTCTTAAATAGACTCTGCCTGACCGAAAGTGGCCACCAGAGTCACATGGGGTGGCAGCATCCAATTGGACAGCTTCCCCCATGACCTAGGAAACCATAGAGGAATCATGTTCCTCTTGATCTTCTCTCCCCCTGCAGTGCCGCTGCAGTTGATTGCCACTTTCAGTGGAGAAAGCAGATTGCACCTGTATACAAGTTGATAATGGCTAAGGCTTAAATTTTTGCTTTTAGTACTATGGCAAATCACTTGTGTTTTACTGCAGATCACGAAAGACAGATAATAGCAAATACCTTCTGTTTAAATTTACATTATACAGTACTAGGACAGTGGAATTTACTTTGGTGTTTAGTGGCAGTATAAGTAAAGAGGCCACATGCTAAGTGCACTTTTTATTGTGGGGGAGGGGGGTGTCAGGACCAGGGGCGGACTGACCATTTGAGCATTCGGGCACTGCCCCAGTAGGGGGCCACATGAGATGCCCCTGGTACCTTTCATTGGCTTTTTCATAGGCTTTTTTGGGTGTGGGCAAGGACACAGGGGCCCCATGATCCCCTATGGCCCGGGGGCCCCATGAGTTGTCAGGACAAGTCTGATCATTGGAGGAGAGCAGGCTGAGTTCCAAGCATAGCTAGAGAACGGACAATGGTATATTCTGCTTAGTGTGGTTGGTAATAAGAAAGCCAAGGGACTGGCAGGAACACCAGGTATTTCTCACAAAGGAAGCAATACAAAGAGAACAGGACACACTTTCATACATGTATATGGTACAGCAAACACATATCAGGAATATGAAATGTTGGGTTTACATATTCATAAAGGTATCTTACACGCAGAACAACATTGGGCTGAAGGAATTGCAACCTGCTGTTTGCTAGTTCTCAAAGATAAGTTGGATAGGAATGTTTGCTTTTGCTGTGGCTCGATGGAGCAAATAACAGCTCATTTATCTGGCCAACTTAAAGCAGAACTACACTGCATCTAAATACCACAAGCCAAAAATTCTATTTAATTCATTTTTAATATTCAAAGCAAACCCATCCATTCATGCTTTTTTTTACAGAGAAATCACTTTGTAAAACAACTCCTAGCATTTCTAGCTATGGCCATCTTGAGCAAGGGCAGATCAGTTATGTAGGATTTACTTCCTGGAATCCATCTGCCCTCTGGCATGTATGCAGGATGGTGTGCACAGTGGAGAAAACCCATCCTCCCCTTATAAAGATTCTTAGGCTGTATGACATAATTTGCCTAGACCTGGAAACCAGGAAATAAATGGGAAAAAAAATGAAAAAAATCTACTTTCCTACCTATTTACTAATGACCGCTGCATAAGGAATTAAAAATAGTTGATTGAGAGAGTGAGGTTTCTAATGAAGAAGTGTTATTTACTTAGTCAGATCCAGTCTAACAAGAATTGGTCACAAAGATCAAAAGTGTTAAGTCCTTTGAGGACCTACCATTGCAATCCCTTCAAATAAGTTTAACCAGATAGGTCCTTACACTACATAAGATAGTTGTTGCCAAAGGTGATTGTAAAATGATTGGCTATGTAGACTGAAAAGATTTCAAACAACAAAATGTTTGAAATCCAAAGTAGATTGTACAACTAGTATAGTAGATACCTGCTGACATTTGGCCCATGTGTACAGGTCCTTGTTTGACAGAAGCCAGAACACAATAGCACAGTGGGGAGATTGCTGTACAAACATAGCATAGTTAATACAGTGAGCTCCTCGTGAGCTTTTTTTTCATTTGGCCTGCTGGATTGAACAAAAAAAAGCTTGGCGTGTGTTCCAGGCATTATTCCCTGCTCCTGCACACTTACTTCTGGCTGTTTGACTGGCCTCTGCAAATCTGCTTCTGTTTGCAGCTGCAATAGCTGTGGGCATGCAGGGCCAGCAGTCGTACATTGACTGTGAGGCTGACAGTGGCTCGCCCACAACCTCCAACCTAAGAGAGGGGAGAAAAATGTAAACTGCTGGTGTAGTGAGAAATAAGTAAGTATGGTTACTTTTTTTCGTTCCTTCAAGTATTTTACCCTTGCAGTGTGGTAAGAGCCCACTACAAGGGTAACTTGTTTGTTTTACCCAGAACTCACCTTTTAAGTCGATATAATAAGATAGTCTTAATATATATCACACAAAATTTGTAGCCTTTTATATTTAGGCTACGAACGATTCAAAAGAGAAATGGATATAGCTACAGACTGAACAGAAAATACTTTTAAGGAATGCTGAATCAGCTGTTCATGCTTTAACATCTTGTTAGATTTGTCTAGATTTCTTTAACAGAGCTTTATATGAATTCCTAGGCTGGACATTGGCCAAGTTTACAGAAGGGCTGCTTCCTTTCTTTATGGTTTGCGGTAGCGCACCACATTGTCCCTGAAGTCATGTACAAAACATTCCTTATGCATCTTTTAGGAATGCAGTTATTCATTAAAAAAATATTTAAGTACCCTAAATTGACTTGATATCAGCCTTCTGTAAACCCCTGTACAGTAGCAGTACCCCTGTACAGTTCTGCTGCATGTATAGACAATAAACATGCTGACAAAAAGGGAGAGCTTGATGAGCTCAGTAAAGATCTCAATAAGTGGCTGAATTGTTAGCACTTCTGCCTTGCAGCACTAGGGTTGCTGGTTCGAATTCCAACCACAGCACTACCTACATGGAGTTTGCATGTTCTAACTGTGCCTGCATGGGTTTCCTCCAGGTGCTCCAATTTCCAAAGACATGCTGGTAGGTTGATTGGCTCCTGTCTAAATTGTCCGTAATATGAATGTGAGTTAGGGACTTTAGATTGTAAGCTCCTTGAGGGCAGGGACTGATGTGAATATGCGATATATATCTAAAGAGCTGCATAAATTGACAGCGAATATAAGTACCTGTAATAAACAAAATAATATATAGCTGTTTAATGCCATCAGCAATCAAGAGTTGTGTGACCCCAATATTCTTTACCACTTCATTAGAAGGCCAGGACTGGGCTATGCTGTCTGGCAGGAGTGTCTGAATCAGGCAGGCTGAACACACCTGTGAGTCATAGAACAATTAAAAACATTTCCAAATAATGCATTTCAATTTTATTTCTAGCCACTTGTCTAAAGTTCCATTCAAAGTGTTTGTTTTGTTTCCAATAGTATTTAATCATTTTTTTTTTTTTTTTTCAATTTGTTTTGTTACATTTTTTTACAGATATGCCATAGCAGATAACTCCTATCGTTCCCTACGCACAGAAAGGAAAGACCAATGTATACTTATATCTGGTGAGAGTGGGGCAGGGAAGACTGAGGCTAGCAAGAAAATCCTTCAGTACTATGCTGTGACATGTCCGGCCAGTGACCAGGTGGAAACTGTGAAAGACCGACTTCTTCAGTCCAATCCTGTTCTGGAGGTGAGAGCCTGATAAGGAAAATAAACTTCCTAGAAGCTGATAAAGAACAAATTGCCTCATCAGTAGGTGTCAGTGGAAGGTGTGGTTCTATAAATGTTTTGCTGTCATAGAAACAGAGCAGCCTTGTGAGAACAGGGTTTACTGCATTGATCTAAGTAGCAGCAAAACTGCTTTTCAATATTCCATGTATAACTTTGACTGTCACAATTATTTTTGTATTTGTTTTCAGGCATTTGGCAATGCAAAAACCTTACGAAATGATAATTCCAGCCGCTTTGGAAAATATATGGATGTGCAGTTTGATTACAAGGTTAGAGTTGTCTGGACAAGTATTTGTATGTTTGCCATAGACTTCTGCAGATGTTTATCTTCCAGATCCCTCTGCTCTCCCTTCCTCCCAGCTGCCCTCTTCTTCACTTGATGACAATAAAGTGCAGTGGTTTACCGTGCAAGGTAGTGTCGGCTGCGGTAGAGAGTTGCGCAAAATCCTGTTTCATCCCATTGTACTGCTTACTTGTTTTTGTGCTGCTGTGCAGGGAGCTGCAGTGCTATCCTGTTTGCTGTGGAAAACTGCGGAAATGCTGCATTTTTTTCAACACTGCGCTGCACCACATATCACATCAGCAATCATTTTGTATGTGACCTGCACTGATCCAGTACGGAAAAACACAGTTCACCACAAATAGTATCAACGAGCCCTTAATGGTTTACCTGACCAAATATGTAATTTTGTACATCCAGTCTATTTTATTAGAGAATATGTTGCCAGCACACCTTGCATTGGTATAGCAAAGTCCAGAGCTTTATTTAAAGGATGAGTCCACCTTTTTTTAAAAAAGATAAATTGACATATTTTGCAAAAGACAAACAAGTGCATTTGGTGGTTTTTTTTTTTTTTTTTTTTCCCCAAAGGAGCGTGCAGAGCATTGCACCCACAATCAGTGGATCGTGGGTGCAGTGTCAGGCTCCTGCAGACACTGCCTACAGCTCTGTGCCTGTACCTCTGTATTGGCTGTCGGTTTCAGAGCTGTAGGAAGCGTCAATTGACTGAGGGCCTGATCAGCACCCTATGTAGTCCATAGAGAACTAGTAGTCATCTGCCACAGTGACAGATGGAATTGGTCATTTATTCACAGATCACTTGGCCAATTTTAAATGTGACTGAGGGGGAGGGGAGCCCCATCCACTGTCACAGGAACGGGGGCTCTGTTGGTGGAATTCAGGCGATTAGGAGCATTCTATGTGCTACACCCAAAATACGGGTGAACCTATTCTTTACACATTAAGAACCTCCTATCGTGCATATGCAACATTTTGGAAACTCGCAGGGTTTCTTCGTCAGGCTTGTGGGATAATTTTATATAGCTGTGTTGCCTTTTTTTAAATGTTTTTATTTTTTTAGGAAGGTGAATGTGTGGTTTTTTTTTTTTTTTTTTTTTTTTTTTTTTTTTTTTTGTGTTACCATCTACATCTATAGACATCTCTAGTATTTGTTAGTCCTGAAAAAGATGAGAACAATCCTCTAGAATGAGATAGAATGTTGCGTCAAAGCTATGGCTGAGAATGTGGGTGGCAGAGACCACATTTGACCTGGAACAAAGCTATGTGTTTATTTGTAACTAATTAGTTTTAATAATTACAAAAAGAACCCCCTCATTCAGACAAGTTTTGACCTGGAATGGGAGATATGTGACCGCAAATAGAATGACTTTCACTTTTTTTTTTTCTATTTATTTATAAGGGAGCTCCTGTAGGTGGACATATTTTAAACTATCTCTTGGAAAAGTCCCGTGTGGTACATCAGAACCATGGAGAGAGAAACTTCCATATTTTTTACCAGCTTCTTGAGGGTGGAGAAGAGGATTTACTGCGGCGGCTGGGGCTGGATAAAAATGCCCAAAATTACCAGTACCTGATTAAGGTTAGCCTTTTCTGCTGCACTTTCTGCACTGTCCTTGAGCTACAAGGTTTTTTATTCAGGAGGCAACCATCATAAGACTATACATTCAGGATGTATGTGTAAAGTATGAATAAGTAAAATGTTTTCCTCAGGTTTGTATGTATGTATTATGCTGGCTATACATAGCTCAAATTTTGTCCATTTCATAATATATCAACTGAAACGTGGGTTGTGGGTGGCCCTCATGGCACCACCAGGCTCGACAAACTTTGATCTGGAAATCGAAGAAGAGGGGCAAAATATTCTCAAATGAATAGCCAAGCCAATGCCGTCAATCAGACGTAGTCACTGGTTCAGGTATTCTGACAGCCACAGCAGCAGCAACTATCAAAATAAAATAGCCAGCAGGGGAAATTCCTTCAACTGTGCTATTTAGCTTCAATTAGGGACTCTATTTATCTCTTAGAAATGCTAATATGTATAGGAATTTTTAACTCTGTCTCAACCCTTTACCCAGCTTTGAAACCTAAGCCCTAACTCATCACCTGATCCTAGCACATGTACTCCCTACAGCCTCGATAATACTCACCTGAGCCCCCTCTCAATCCAGCAATGTGCACGGGAGTCTTGTGTCCCGGGTCTCTATCTCCTCATTGGCTGAGACACCTCACCTTGAGCCATTGGCTCCCACTGCTGTCAATCGCAGCCAGTGAGCCAATGAGGAGAGAGCGGGGGTGGGGCCGAGCTGCGGCTCTGTGTCTTATAGATGCATAGAGCATGGCTGAGGAGTGAGCATGCACCAGTGACGCCATAGCAAGCAGCTTGCTTTTTGAGGGTACTGGTCAAGGGGAGGAACCAGGAGCGCCATGGGGAGACCTGAAGAGGATCGGATCTTCTCTGTGTAAAACCATTGCACAGAGCAAGTAAATATGACATGTTTGTTTTTTAAAAAAGAAAACAAATCTGTTACATCAATTTTAACTGCTTCCAGTCCGCCTATTGCCTATAAATGGTGGCCGTGAACTAGCGCAGATGGAGGCTAACATACCTGTACATCAGCCCGCATCGGCGGCTCCTGCTCGGCTATTGTTGTGCACACTTCGGAGCAATCCACGTGTCACCTGGACATAGTGGATCACATTACCACTGTGTTTGGGTGATCACATGGTATTTTACCATGCGAATCCTATGTACAATTACAGCAATCACATGGTAAACAATATAAAGTAAACGTAAAGATCTGTTCTCTCTGCTATCACTGTGAGAGCAGAAAGGAGCAATGCTACAGCCTGTGAGCATACAGCAACCTGTCAGGCTGCTTATACACTTACAGACTACAGTGCCAGCCATCCCATTGTCCCTGAAAACTGCCCCAGTGTTAAAATAATAAAAATGCTGCCAGCCCTGTCACCTGTCCCAGTGCTCACAAAAACACTGCCATACACCATACCAATGTCCAGATCACCTCTATACCAGCTTCCTTATCACTGCTGTACCCCATACCAGCCTCCTGATCATAGCCATATGCCATACCAGCCACCTGATCATCGCCATATGCCATACCAGCCACCTGATCATCGCCATATGCCATACCAGCGTCCTGACCATCGCCATATGCCATACCAGCCTCCTGACCATCGCCATATGCCATACCAGCCTCCTGACCATCGCCATATGCCATACCAGCCTCCTGACCATCGCCATATGCCATACCAGCCTCCTGACCATCGCCATATGCCATACCAGCCTCCTGACCATCGCCATATGCCATACCAGCCTCCTGACCATCGCCATATGCCATACCAGCCTCCTGACCATCGCCATATGCCATACCAGCCTCCTGACCATCGCCATATGCCATACCAGCCTCCTGACCATCGCCATATGCCATACCAGCCTCCTGACCAATGCCATATGCCATACCAGCCTCCTGACCATCGCCATATGCCATACCAGCCTCCTGACCATCGCCATATGCCATACCAGCCTCCTGATCACCGCCACATGTCATACCCAGCGCCCTAATCACCGCCATATGCCATACCCAGTGCCCTGATCACCGCCGCATCAGCACCCCGATCGCCGAACCAGCTTCCCGATCACTGCCATACATCATACCAGCATCCAGATCACTGCTATACAGATATATATCCCTTTGTTTTGGGACATACCAGTGCCCTGATTGCCGCCATACCCCACACCAGCGCCCTGATTGCCGCCATACCCCACACCAGCGCCCTGAGAGGAGCAGTGCTGCAGCCTGTGAGCATACAACAGCCTGGCAGACTGCTTATACACTTAGACTGCAATGCCAGCCATCCCATTGTCCTTGAAAACTGCCTGTTAGAATAATAAAAATGCAGCCAGCCCTGTCATCTGTCCCAGTGCTCACAAAAACACTGCCATACACCATACCAATGTCCAGATCACCTCTATACCAGCGCACTGTTCGCCGCCATACCCGATACCAGCGCACTGTTCGCCGCCATACCCGATTCCAGCGCACTGTTCGCCGCCATACCCGATTCCAGCGCACTGTTCGCCATCATTCCCGATTCCAGCGCCCTGTTCGCCGCCATATACCCGGTACCAGCGCCCTGTTCGCCTCCATACCCGATACCAGTGCTCTGTTCACCGCCATACCCCATACCAGCACCCTGATCACCGCCATACCAGTGCCCTGATCGCCGCCATACCCCATACCAGCATTCTAATCACCGCCATATCCCATACCAGTGTCCCAATCACTGCCATGTATCATACCAGCATCCAGCATTTTAGGGTTGCTAGTGATCAATTTTCAGATATATCCCTTAGTTTTGGGACTCTGACACTTTTACACACACTATATTATATAATTTTCACTCTTTCGGGTTTTTTTTTTTACAAAAAAAAAAAAAAATGTAACAGAATAAATGTTGCCTTTATTTTATGAAGAAACTAAATTTAGCAAATAATCTAACAAAACCTAAGCAAAAGATTTGTTTTTTTTCCAAAATTTCTGTATTTATATAGCAAAAAAAAAAAACCCAGTGGTGACAAAGTACCACCAAAAGAAACTCCTCTTCCTGCTGTCTGAATTGTGGACAATTAGATACAGACTTGTTCCATGCCTTCTGGGCATGTCCCAAGATTAAACGATTTTGGAACACAATTGTGCATTATACTACCACACACTTGGTAAACTACTTACCTCTAGCCCCTGAATGGGCACTCTTTGGCCTAGACCATATACCAGGTGTTAAAATCTCAAAAGGATGTAAACAACTCCTAGTTGTCATAACCCTTGTAGCACAAAAAAAAAAATTTTACATAAGTGGATCTACTCAGGACACACACACACCATCACACACACACACAATCACCCACACCATTTTTTTGTTTATAGACAAACTCTCTTATGTTTCCAGCAGTGAATGGGTGGAGGCCTCCTTGCATAAGTAGTCATGGGTCGAAAGATTCTTTGAGAGCTGGGAATCTTTCATTCAAACTTTGCCTACAAATACCCAACAATCATTAGTACAATGTTTTCAGTATACACAATGGTTTCAAACCAGATTGTTAACCAATGACCCTTCAATTGATATCCTACCCTCCAATTAAAATTATATTACGCTTTAACAGCTAAAGCCTCTTCTTTTTCCATCATGTGCTAGTTGTTAGACTGACAGCCATCCATCTTTTTGTTTTTTAATGTCTATCTCAGTGTTTCTCAACCTTTTCTCAGTCAAAGCAACCTTTAATATTCTGCACAATCTTCAGGCACCCTATTCTAAAATGTAAAATTTGAACTAAGTTTTACATAATGCAGCAACATCCACACATGCAAGACATTCAACATTAGAGGTGATTTATTCTTACAAAGCACACTAGTACTGACTAGTATTCCGATGTTTCTTTTCTCCCTCAATTGCTCTCCCTCTCTAACCTAATGTGACCCCAGCGCTGACACAGAGGGACTGGAGAGGGGCAAAAGGATGCTGTGCAGGCGCCCAACGTACTCATCAACCCATAATGTTATTTGGTGGTTGGGATACTGCCGGCTAGAAGGGTGTAATGGTGCACAATGAAAACCAGTGGCTTTGTGTAACCTAAAGGCATGCTTGATCACTCCTCCTGGCTTGTATATAATTTTTGGGAATTTTTTAGGCATTTTGCCGAGGTACCCCTGAGGAAACCTGAAGGCACTCTGGTTGAAAGAGGCTGGTCTGTGCTTTGATCCAGCACGAATACCTGGTTCTCAAACTATACCAACAAACTGTGTGCTTTCAGTTTTGTATTGTTCTACTGCCCAAGTGTTGTGGCTATTTGTTTACTGCATTCTCACATCATAAAATAAAATACAAAAAAAAGGCATCTCTATTTGTGTGAAAAATGCTAAACTTTTTTATATGGGTACATGGCTTGGGTTGCATGACCACACAATTGTCATTCAAAGTGCTGAAAGCTGAAAATTGGCCTGTACTGGAAGGGGATGAGACTGTCTGTCTGAACTTGTAGTGTTAAAGGATAAGTTCACTTTTTGAAAAAAAAAAATGCACTTTTTTTTTGGCTGGTAAAACAAATGTTCATTTTTTTTTTCTAAGCAGTCTGCAGAGCATTGCACCTGTGTTCATGCTACTGCAGGCTCTCAGGATAGCTGTATGGGGGGGGGGAAGGGTGCAGATGCTGGAACATGTTCTATTTTCTACTTTAAAAACACGCAAAACATTTTAACATCTTCCAAAGGTGAATTTATCCTTTAATCCTAAACTTAACCCGTTTAAACTATCAACCGTTCAACTTTTACACTTAACTCCTTTTAATGTAAAGTTTTGCCTTGTTCATGCAGGGCAAAGTAACAGGCTCACTTAATTCCTCCTTCCCCAGCAACACATTTCACTTTCATTTGATCCCTCACTGCTCTGTATAGCCTCGGGGGAGCAGAGAAAAGTAGCTAGTAGTTCAAGTATGGGGACCATGTGACACATGACCGTGCTAGGGCTTGGTGCTTGGCCTGTTGTTTTCACATGGAGATAGGCAAAGTAAAAGTATGACACTTTCCCAGGGTTTCTTGCTTCCAGCAGTTAAATCCAGTTTGTAATAAAGATACCACAAGTTGTTAATATTATGGCATGTGTCACAGTATGGGGTAACAATTGTTATAGCCTTTTCTCTTTTCCATATAAACACCTTTCTGACAACAACTCTGGTTTGCTTGTCATTTATTCATGACTACATGCTTTGCTAAATACCTGTCTAAAATGAAATCTTTTGACTTCAAGGAAAATGCATGTCCATGTGCTCCCATTTTAAGTATTTTAAATGTGTGAGCTGTATACATGATAAATAGCATTATAATCTTTCTGGTTATAAATATGAGATTATATAAATGAAGTCTATCTTCATATTAACCAGCTCACCTCTTTGGATGTACTACGTACGTCCACAGAGTGAACTGTTAATCACAAGCTGATGGCTGCTTGTCTCGATCAATGCTTCGATCTCACCTGTGAACAAAGAAACCAGTAGGGACGATGATTTAGTAGCTTATAGTTTCATATCTACCATTTCCTGGCCCGTACAGCCAAGGGGACAAATCTAACTAAGCCGATCTGTACTTGGTTAGATGCTGTGAAGGGCACGGGAGACATTGGGGTCTGTTCGGCCCCTAATGTCTCCATTAAGAGTATCTGTCACCTGCCAGTGCTATCACATGGGGGTTTATTAATCCTTTTGCAATAGCAATGAAGTAAAAACAACTAAATAAAAGAAAAACATTTTTAAAAAGTAAAACCAACTTTCTTTTATATTTTACCCAAAAAATGGGTATTGTATTTTGTGTTTGAGCTAAAATTCTTTTTATTATATTTTTTTTCCTGCAAATTTGCATTAAATAGTTGCACAAATATCAGTTAAATATTTGCAACTATATTCTGTTTATTCTACGGGATCTCTGCTTTCCAAAAATATAGAATGTTATGTTGGCAAAAAATCCTATTACTGTTTTAGTTTTGATTTATGTCTAGGGACATATTTAGATCAAATTTATCATCCATATTTTATTAAAATAAAAAGTCCCATTGACAGCTCCTCAGTCTAGCCACTCAAATAATCCCCCAAAAACTGACAAATACAAGCACGTTATCCTTTAAGCAGAAAGAGTTCAGGTTTTTTCATTGAACATTACTAGGTGGAATGGCTTCTATTTTTTATTGAATCCTCAAACAGTAAAGTAACTGATGGTGGAGCAGTCCATTTTCCCAAACCATACAGGAAAGGAAGCATTCTGATTAAGACACTGAAAACACTTCTATGATGACTTTAAAAAAAAAAAAAAAAAAAATGTATACAGTCTCCTTGTCTTATGTAAAAATGTAAATTGACCGATTTTCTTTTTTTTTTTTTTTATTTGGTAGTGCTTACTTGACAATATAAACTAACAAGTATTTTTTTTTTCTAACTTCATTTGGTAGTGAAACTACATACTTCTACTGAGCCAATCTTTCTTTTGATAAATCTTTGTTAGCATGACTTAATATATTATAAATAGCAACTTTATTTTTGTTTTATCTTTTGCCTTTATGATTTTAACATGACAAGTGAACATTTAGGGAGAATGTATTTTGTAGAAAATTTGCATAGATTTCTGTTCATCGAAACTGTGCATGTAATTTCATTCTGTGTGAATGGGGCAAAATTGCATGTTCTCAGGCTATATTCACTACTGATTGAATGTTATTCCTTAGAAAAAAAAAAGTGTGAATGTCTTGATCCAAACTGTTAACGGTGTATATTTCTGTATTTCTCCCTACGTGGAGTCAGTCTTGACCTATGATGGAGGTTAATATGCACGTGATGGCCTTTGACACTTTTTTCTATACTCAAATATTCTGAGCAACACAAAGGGGAAATGATTACAATATGGCTGAATATCGTAGGAAATGAGAGATACGAGACCTGTAGAGGTCTACAACTGTAGAAGTAAAGAGCTTCTTTTGATGTAGCCTGTCATACACTCAGGATAGCTAGGATAACATAATCATTTTTTGAGTTTTTAGAACCTATTGGAAAGTTTTAAATTCTATTCGTTTCACATAATCCTCATAATTTTAAGCCATGTCTTCATTCCTTTTCCATCAGGTGTGTTTGTCCTGGTAGGATTTGATACATAGTCATAATTTCTAGATTTTGTAGATCTTTTACTTTATGATGAGATATTTGCAGTTATAGCCAACCGTACGTCATTTACTGTGCCTTTCTGCAGGGGTTGTGAGTAACATATATTGAGTTCTGACCTGTAACTGTTCACTATTTTTGTCTGTTGTAGGGGCAGTGTGCCAGAGTTAGCTCAATCAATGATAAAAACGAATGGAAAGTTGTTAGGCGGGCCATGTCAATTATAAACTTCAATGATGATGATGTAGAGGTAAGTTCCGCACCATGTAATTTTACGTAATGTCTTACTGATGATTTGTTGGCAATTATGTTCATTAATATCGAACCACTAAGCAAATTTAAGGAATTGGTTAACAATTTTGCTTCTGATGGTTTTTTAGGAATTGCTGAGCATTGTTGCTAGTGTACTACATTTGGGAAATGTGCAGTTTGCCACAGATGAGCATGGACATGCCCAAGTCACAACAGAAAACCAGATTAAATACCTCGCCAGGGTGAGATGGTCTACATTTTATATATCCAGTTTTTCACATTTAACAGGGTTTATGCAATAAATTTTTGAATTCCGAGACATGTGCCTTTGAAAACCTAAAACAGTTACTATTTGAGTAAAGCTGAAACGAATTAAAACCGCTATTTCTACGAGTTTAGAAAGTGAGAAATTTTGAATGCTGTGAAAATGGAATTTCAGCTTACACCTAACTAACCTTAAAATTGTTGTTTCCCCCCCTCCTCCCCCCCAACCCCAACACCTGTGCTAACTAACCTTGGTAACAAAGATGTATATACTTGCCTATTTTCAAAGCCACTCCAGTCTGGTCATGTGATCTGGCTCCCCTGTGTCAGCCAGTGAGATGACAGGAGGGAGTGCCAATAATGGACGGGCCATCTATCACCAGTTTTGGCATCAGATTCTTGCACAATTTCAGGCATGCAGCAAATGGCTTATTTGTCTAAAGCAGAATTCTCTGCATCTATGTCAAATTTCTTTGGATATACAAGCCATTTTTGTCCTGGGCTCATGACTGCAGTCTAAAAACTGGATCACTCCAGCAAGGCTTTTCTCTCCCCTCAAATATTTGCTGAACTCTATCTAGTGGAATATGGTTTCCAAAGAAGTGGGCAATTTATTGTGGTTGATCCTGCGGTCTCCTAAAAAAAAAATTCACTGTAACTATTGAAGATGTTCATTAAAGCGTTAATAAATCCAAAGCTGGAATGTAATATATTGCGACGTACCAACCCATTGATGTAGTGCATTCGTTTTTCTTTTTGTATTTTTTTTTTCTTATCCCCTGTTTTCACTTGATGATCTGTCCAGTAACACACCTCCTGCATTAGAGTGCCCCCACTCTGTATGAAGGAGCACAAGGGCATCTTTAAACAGCAACATAGTTAATCTGGGGGGAAGGGAGTGTTAGATGTGCTATCAAATTTAAATACACTAACAAATTGAAGTCAAATTCCAGATGCAATGCAGTTAAAGCAACATTTTTTTTTTTTTCATCCTTTTGGGATAAAGGTTTTACATTATAGCAAGCTAATCATTGTAAGCACCCCTGTCGGTGTTAAATGGTTTGTCTCAACACTCTTAATGGATACATTGGCAGGGCAGCTTATGTTTAAAAACAGATTTCCTGGCTGGATCACCAGATCAAAATAAAAGAAAGCATTCTGAGAGTTGCTATGCAGCAATATAATTTTTGCTTTTGGGTTTATTTCCACTTTAAATTTGAGATGCTCCTAAAGGTTCTCTTTACTCTTGTGGGCATGGCACTTCAACCAGCTCCCACTGCCATTTCAAACTGCAGCACACTGGACTAGGGCAAGGAACAACCTAACCTCGTATTTCAGGATTGTACTATTACAGAGCAATTACAGCTATTGCCTTCTTTGCATGGATTCCCTAGAACATGTCATTGAACACATTTCCAGAATGGTTTATCTCCATTCATATGTGCAGAATCATATGGCTGAAAGTTTAGACAGCTAAGGTTGCCTGCAAAAGTTGCCTCACAAGTATGCCTTTCCAAGGAAGGCGTCAGTTAGGTGAGGCACTTGATCAATTCATCAAAGATCGAAAGTTTTGCTTCAACAACAGAAGTTCCTAAAAAATCTCCTCCTCAGGGGCCTCTAGCTCTTCAAAACAATGAGCACCTGTCTGCTCTAACCAGGTTTCAACTTCAAAATTTAAGTCAGCCCTTTCGGCATAGATTTTGGGCCACAAAGCTTTCCCCAAACCCATCTTCACAATGAAGGGTCATCCTCACACCTAAGAGTAGAGCGACATCGATTACAGTTTGACTCTCTGGATCACTCTAAAGTTGAACCTCTGACCCTTGTTGTTGGACTGTTGGTCAGTTGTGTTTGCCTGTATGTTGCCCACATGTATCCATTGCCTGGGGACATCCTGTGATGTATGAATACTCTACTTGTGTCCAGAACTAAATGATTATAAGAATATTCATTTTCCTGTAAATGCCATATCTTGGAGTATGGTACAGGACAAAGGGCACCGTCCCTTCCATTCCATGGTTTGCGTTGTATTGCTTACTACAAAACTGAAAACTCATGGAGTAGGGGTCGAGTTATAGTGGAGGTGCCCAGTCTTTGCCAGTCTTCAGGCAACTGAAGGTACATGTCTATTACCCATAGAATTTGCTGCCTGTATCTTGTGCTGTACTCAAAGATATGGAATTTACAAGTAGATCAAAATTCCTCTTTTTGCAGTCCATCAGTAACGAGAGGTTTTCAATGTGAATGATCTAGGACTAAAGAGTTAATGTGAAATCTGTGTAATATCTTCTACATCACATGGCAGATATGATCAGCATGACAAATTACGTTTAAACCGATTGCTGGAGCTTTTGAATGCTGTTGCAGATTTTTATGGTCAACATTATGTTCATGTAGTCAGATCTTTGTTGGATCTTGTGAAAAATTACCATGTCTTTAACCAGCCATAAACAGATATAAAGTTTTGTTTTCTGCTGCTCTTAAAAGGGACTAAATTGGTAGAATTTCATTATTTTAACAGCTGCTTATGTTAAAATAATTTATTCCTACTATAAACACCTATCATTGTCTTTTTAGTGGGGAAGCAGATAAATTGCAATCCAGTACCTGACACCCTAGAACAGTGGTGGCAAACTTATGGCACGCATGCCGCAGTGGGCACGCAGAGCTTTCTCTGTCGCCACACAAGTCAAGTTGCCCCAGCCGCCGCGCATCGGATAACAGCGCACATAGGGGCCATGCCTATGCTCGGATAGGAATAGTGGCACCAGGTGATGACGTCACAAGCCGCGATTTGTTAGCTGCGATTTGTCGACTTGCGTGGCCGCTCAGTGCACTGCCAAGGCTATATATATTGGACTGACTGTGAGTTTTAATATATTAGTTTTTATTAACACAAGATTTTAGCTTGTGCTGGTTGGCAGTGGAACTTTGCCCCCTTGTGCTGGTGGTCAGTGTTTTTCTTTTAGAACAAAAGATCTTAATGTATGGGTTGTTTTTTCTAAACTAAAACCTCAGTATTCAGTTTTAATTGCAGTGTTGGCACTTTGCGATTTAAATAAGTGGGTTTTGGGTTGCAGTTTGGGCACTCGATCTCTAAAAGGTTCACCATCACTTCCCTAGAATATTGTGTGTTGATTGTTTCAGCCAGAAAAAAGAAAACTGTAGCAATTTCCAAGGTGCACATAATCAACCAATGCCATATTTCTTCCATAGAATGGGCTGTAGTTGTACCTTATAATTGGAATAGGCTGTGTGGCCATTAAAAGCGTGGCTGTATTTTGCTTGAAGTGTATAGGTTTTATATTTGTGTGCATTTATCCTTATGAGCATCTGACTTGTTTTTCAGCTCCTCTCTGTAGACAGTACTGTACTACGAGAGTCTCTCATTCACAAAAAGATCATTGCCAAAGGAGAAGAGGTAAATATTGGATGTTTATTTTAAAAGTATTTACATGTTGTCACATACCAACTAGAATTTATTTTTCAAATAATGACTCCTAAGTTAGCAGATGATATACAGTATCTAGCTTGTATAATACTTTACCCTATAACTTATGTAAAGTTAAAGTATTTGTTTTATAGCATGCTCAAAAATGGGGACAAAACATAACGGAGACCTGAAAAAAAGGCCATGGTCAGCTCAGTCTAAGTTCTGGAGCTATTCTTACTAAGAATCTAACATCTGATTTTTTTTAAAACCTAAATCTGTCCAGGCACAGGGAGACCTGAGCATTTAGTAATGCATGAATAGGCCTTTGGTTTATGCACCCTTCACCCAACATGCACCTCTGTTGTTCAGTTCATATTGGTATAGTATCTATCCAGTGATTGTGAGCAATTGCTTATCTCTAGGGAGCTGTCCATTGTACAGTGTCTCTGATTTTATATTGGCATCTTGTAGTTCCCTGCACAGCAGGATGCAGACAGGGAGTGGAATGGGCAACACTATTAGCCAGGAAGGCTTTACTACATTGCACAGTGCGCTAGCAGCCAGTTGACTGCAGGTGAAAGCACATGGTTCACCTTATCAGTTCATTGCTGCCCTTTACTAGCTAATTACAAGCTAGGACAGTGCTTGACTGCGTTGTTTCTTTTATTGCAGTAAAGAAAGGTGACTTCAGATCTTGGCAGTGATGTCTGGGTTAGAAAAGTAGATGAAAAAATGTACATTATCTTTTTTTTTTTTTTTTTTATTTAAGGAAACCATTTAAAATATTCATAATTCCACGTGAACTGAGCTGTGTATGCTTGATCACTTTAAGTTGTAACAGAGCACCACCTATTGCAGATCTCGCCCATATCTTCCATCTTGTCTAGATAGAGCACTTTTAACACCATATAGCTTTATGTAATGGTGTTGGAAAATGCAAATTGAAAATGCCTAAAAAGCCCAATTTTCAATTATATGAAAAGATCAGTGTGAATTTAAGAAATCAGGGTGGTTTCTTCGTTGTCTCGGAGTGTTTACACTAATATCTATCATTGCATTACACATTCGCTTTAAAGCAGAAATCCAGGCATGTAGCTAAATACACATTTGAAAAATATGGAAACTTTTTCTTTGTCGAGGAATTTGTAGTTCAGTTTAGCTAGTTGTATAATACAGGAAACTGTATCAGTGTGGTCAAGAACATTGGTTAACTTTCTTCTCCAAGCTTGCTGGTAGAACAGTGAAGGAGGAGCAGCACCCTGTTGAGGTCATGACTTTCTCCACACTTCTATACACTATATCGCCAAAAGTATTGGGACGCCTGCCTTTACACGCACATGAACTTTAATGGCATCCCAGTCTTAGTCTGTAGAGTTCAGTATTGAGTTATCTCACCCTTTGGTGCTATAAGAGCTTCAACTCTTCTGGGAAGGCTATCCACAAGGTTTAGTAGTGTGTCTATGGTAATGTTTGACCATTCTTCCAAAAGCGCATTTGTGAGGTCAGGCACTGATATCGGACGAGAAAAACTGGCTTGCAGGCTTGCAGTTTCCGCTCTAATTCATCCCAAAGGTGTTCTATCTGGTTGAGGTCAGGACTCTGTACAGGCCAGTCAAGTTCCTCCACCCTAAACTCGCTCATCCACCTTTCTTTGTGCACTGGTGCACAGTTGTGTTGGAACAGGAAGGTGCCATCCCCAAACTGTTCCCACAAAGTTGGGAGCATGAAATTGTCCAAAATGTCTTGGTATGCTGACGCCTTAAGAGTTTCCTTCACTGGAACTAAGGGGCCAAGCCCAACCCCTGAAAAACAACCCCACACCATAATCCCCCCCTTCACCAAACTTTACACTTGGCACAATGCAGTCAGGCAAGTACTGTTCTCCTGGCAACTGCCATGCCCAGACACATCCTTCGGATTGCCAGACAGAGAAGTGTGATATGTCACTTCAGAGAACTGCTCTAGAGTCCAGTGGCGGCGTGCTTTACACCATTGCATCTGATGCTTTGCATTGCACTTCGTGATGTAAATCTTGGATGCAGCTTCTTGGCCATGGAAACGCATTTCATGAAGCTTTCTACACACTGTTGTGCTAATCTGAAGGCCACACGAAGTTTGCAGGTCTTTCGCTATTGACTCTGCAGACAGTTGTGCTACTTCTGTACACTGTGTGCTTCAGCATGCGCTGACTGCGCTCTGTCATTTTATATGGCCTACCACTTCGTAGCTGAGTTGCTGTTGTTCCCAGTTGCTTCCAATTTGTTGTAATACTGCTAACAGTTGACTGTGGAATTCACTGAGCTCCTGAGAGCGACCCATTCTTTCACAAATGTTTGAAGAAGCAGTCTGCATGCCTAGGTGCTTGATTTTATATACCTGTAGCCATTGAGGTGATTGGAACATCTGAATCCAATGATTTGGAGAGTGTCCCAATAATTTTGGCAATATAGTGTACCTGCATTAATTAACATTTTTAGATCTGCCTGGAGTTCGAGTTTAGGACTTATCACTTGGATTTTCTTTAGACACGCACTTGCCTCACTAAGAATGTGATGGAGGATGTATTTCACCATCTGTTGCACTCAAAGTGACAAGACGTTAACTTTGCCATTACTGCAGATTTGTGGATGAGGGTGAAAGGTTAATTCCCTTTTCTTTAAGAAAAATAAAAAAAGACCAGTGCCAGCTGTTGAGACAGAATTCTGTAATTTTTGTAACGGTACAAGTGCTACCAATACTTGCAAGTGCTAATATTTTTTAATTGTAGTTAACCCCTGAATAGTTTGATAGTGTCCCTAACAAAGTTCAACAAACCTCTTGCAGCTGTTGATTTGTGTGGCCCCACTGTTGTTTTGGTGAATTACTTTTACTAGCACCAATAAAATTATAGACTGTTTAATATATCAATACCTGTCAAAACAACCATTTATATTTTAAATCTATTTTATTTCTTTAGCTGAACAGTCCACTTAACCTGGAGCAAGCTGCTTACGCTCGTGATGCCTTGGCTAAAGCAATCTATGGCCGTACCTTCTCCTGGCTTGTTAGCAAGATTAACAAATCTCTGACATACAAGGTTTGATAACTCTAAATTGCATATGAGGAAATGGTTCCCAAATGATTGTTTTTCTATGGCTACATTTATTAAATGATAAAATGTTAATAGTTTTGCTTTTTCTTCTTTCTTTTTTTTTTTTTTTTTGCATGACTGTTTATGTGCAGAATCTGCAGATGTTGCTTGTCTTTTTGTTCAGTAGTGATCTCATTCTTCTACAAGGTCATCTATTAAATGAACTGAAGTATATAAACAGCAGAAGGGGAATTACTCTAATGTTCAGTTATCTTGCTGTGTGCCTTTTACAGGGTACAGATATGCACAAGCTTGGGAGCGCTTCTGTCATAGGGCTTTTGGACATATATGGTTTTGAAGTTTTTCAACATAACAGGTGATAATTTTTCTTCCTTCTTTGAGTGATTTCTTTGTTTGAGGTAAATCTCCATCTTTGTTTAAAAATGCACACAGAACTGCTTTATATTGAATGATGTTTTTCAAGATGATACTGCAAATAGAATGAGATCTCTAAAATAGTTGTGTGTATCCTTTAACCACTTGCCCACCACAGATAGCCGAATGACGGCTTCACTGCGGCCAGCCAGTTCTGGGAGGGCGTCATATGACGCCCTCCCGCGCACCCCCCGGGGGCATGCACCCGGTGATCTCCGTGATTGCTGTGTCCTACAGACACAGCTGATCATGTGATGTGGTAAAAGGGCAATCACAGTGGCCTTTTACCACGTGATCAGCCGTTTCCAATGACACAGCAGATCACCAGTAAATGCAGTTGCCAGTTATCGGCGGCAGATAACCGGCAATTGTCAAAGGAAGGATCTGTGCCCATCAGTGCCTCCAGTCAGTGCTGCCTATCAGTTCCCATCATTGTTGCATTTCAGTGCTGCCTATCAGTGCCCATCATTGTTGCATATCAGTGCCAGCTCGTTAGTGCTGCCTACCAGTGCAGCCTCATCATCGCACATCAGTGAAGGAGAAAAATTAGCTGTTTGCAAAATGTTATAATAGAAACAAAGTTTTTTTTCAAAATTTTTGCTCTTTTTTGTTTAAAGCACAAAAAAATAAAACACCCAGTGGTGATTAAATACCACCAAAAGAAAGCTCTATTTGTGTGAAAAAAATGATAAAAAATGTCATATGGGTACAGTGTTGCATGACTGTGCAACTGTCAAACTGCGACAGGGTTGAAAGTTAAAAATTGGCCTGGGCAGGAAGGGGGTATAAGTGCCTGGTAGGCAAGTGGTTAAAGGAGAACTGTACCATTTGGTGAAAGTGGTCCTTTCAATGTAACCAGCCCACCCACATTGATTATCACTTTCATCCTCAATCCAGCCATTTTTTTTCTACTTTGTAGTGCTGTTGGGTACTGCAGAGCTTTGCTTGTGAAACTGTTATTGCTGGGTCCTCTTCAACCTGCACTTTCATGCTGCAGCCATTCATTCTTATAGGTAGGCATACTTATTGCAGCCTCCGACAGTCTTGCAGGGTTCCGCTCTCCCCAAAGGAATGAATAGGGAAACACCTTTAATCTTAAATTGGACCCAGCAAGGGCAATTTTAGAAGCAGTGGTGTACAGGGCCGCACAGTTGTGAACTTCAGGCACATTTTGCGACCCGATGGGCTCTACTCAGCCAGTGGCCTCCAAGTGGATGTAAACCTTAGACATGAAATATGCACAAAATATATCCCTCTATAGTGTGTACTTGTCTCAGTTAAGAACACTTAAGTGTAATTTCTCTTTGCTGCTTCATTTCTCTATCAGCATGAATCACTTCTGACAAGTTTTTCTGACACCAAGAGAGAGAGGGTGAGAAGGGAGGGATCTCCAGCACACTGATTTTAATTGACAGCCTCAGTTCTCTGTCCCTGTTTGCTGTCTAAAAGTGGGTGTGTCCATTCCCTCCAGTCATCTCTTAGAGCTCTCTTCACTAAGCTCTGCATGTGTAATTTCAACTCTCTGCCCGTTTTCTGAAAGCTCAGATTTGCTTTATAAATTCTGGACTTTCAGTGTAGAGAAGACTGCAGATAAACAGGTACAACTTATGTAGGATGCTGTATTTAATCTCTGTGCATCACCTGAGGCTAGTCACTTCCCTGGGTGTATATTTAAGGGATTACAACCCAGCAGTGTTGCTTGAGCTTCTAGAATTTCACTTTTTTCCTTTCCCCTTAAGGCATACAGTATTTCTCATCTATGCATTTTAGCATAGTGTATTTTAAAAAAAGTGTTTGTGTGTGATTTCCAATAAGTGCAACTTCATAGCAATGAATGGTATTGAATGTATGTGTGTAAAAATGCCTTGGTATGAATGCATTTCTAGATTGTCTTTAAAGTAAACCTGTTACAAGCCTAAGTAATACAAACTAAGTGGAATATGCAAAAAATGCATAAGCAGAAGTTACCTTCTGTGAAAATTGCATGTCAAACCAACCAAACGCTTTATCAAGAGGTATAAGCAGCTCAAATATATATAAATTTGTATTTTCCTCTAAAAATTTTGCTTTTTTCCAACCTTCCCCACCCCTACGGCTGCTGATCATTCCCATTTGGCTTTTTAATGTGAGGGATGACCTAATTGTCTAATACTGAGGCTTAGTAGGTGGAGGGTATGGCCAATATCAAGTTTGAGGCTCCATGCACACTGAGCGTTTTAATAATGCTGGCAACGTTAGCTGTGTAAAGTCACGTTAAAAATGTGAGTTTTTCAGTGTTTTTTTTAGTATTTTTGCATTAGTGATTTGCCACGTTTTTTAATGAAAAGAACATTTTTTTTTTTTTTGCTCAAAAAAAGTCCAAAAATGCTGGTTTGTTGTGGTTTACTGTGTTTTTCCGCGTTTTTCAGTGTTAGAGCGTTTTTATAGCTAGAAACCCACTAGTTCTGGGGGTTTTTTTTCAGCCAAAAAACCGCTGATTACAGTTGTTAGTTGTTAGCGAGTTGTGTTAAGGTTTTGTTAAGGAGCTGCGGCGGCTGTGACACAGAGGGAGCAAGATTAAATTATACATTGGAAAAGGAGAATGGTACGCAATTTGAAGTGGCGTGGAGAGTGGTAGAGATTGCGTTTTCAAATATAGTTATGCTTTTCACTTGATCTAATTGTTTTAACATGCATTCCTAACTGAGGTTTAGCTCTATTTATGTATTATTTTTCAGCATGCCCTCATGTTGAATAGCCAGCCTTTGTGAGAGACTTGAACTGGTTGTAAAGCCTCACATATACCCAGTGAAGTGTCTAGTCACAGGTGATGCACAGAGATGAAACAAATCCTGTTACAGAAGTTGCACCTGTTTATTAGCAGCTCTCTTCTCTGCATCTGTTCAAAGTCCAGAATTTATAAAGCTTACCTGAGCATTCAGAAAGCAGGAGACGGGAAGCTGAAGTACACACTATAGAGGGGTAAACTTTGTTCATAAAGCATGTCTGAGGTTTTTACCCACCCAGGCCTGATAGACTTGTGTACACAGACATGGGATTACTAATTCCTGTAATCATTTCCTCTGTTTAGTGCTACCCAAGCAGATCTGCATTTAAACCCTGTAAAGATTTAATTGAAGGCATGTCTGCAGTACCTATGAAAGCTTCATGTAACTGAACAATACTTCAACCAGACTTTTAGATGCTGAACTTGTACACAGCATGCCCATTGCCAGCATTGCACCTTGAAGGTTTATTTCCTTTTTTGGTCATGGTCACATCTAACAAATTCATTCATATTGCTCATGTGCACTATTTTACTCTGGAATCTAACCAAAAAAAATGGTATTGTATTCCATATATTTCTTTCAATACTATCCTGTTTTGCAGCTTTGAACAATTTTGCATTAATTTTTGCAATGAAAAACTGCAGCAGTTATTTATAGAGCTGACACTGAAGTCTGAACAGGAAGAATATGAATCTGAAGGGATTGCAGTAAGTAGTGTTTAACTAGTCATTACATTAGATGAAAACCCTAACTTTTTTTTTTTTGGGTATAGCACTGTTTATCATAAAAGACTTCCGATAAAATAGTAAAATAAAGGGTCCTCACCTAATTACACAAAAAGTTCCCATCCACCTCACTCCCTTTTTTGGGATTGCCTGCTGATATTGTATTTGGGACTGTTATTTGAAATCGGAGATGACTGGAAAATAAATAAAAAAGACCCTTCAGGGTCAGAAACTGTAACATGTCCATTCCTTGTTTATCCTTAAAAATACATTTCTAATTAACACTTTTTTTCTTCTTGGTAAAAACCCAGTCTTTTGGCCTGGTTTGGATGATTTTACCCTTAATTTGTATGTCTTAAAGACAGAGCAGGAAGTGAGGGGACATGTCTCTTAGTTGCCATTTGATCATGTCTCCCCATTAGAAGATTCCCCTCACCTCCTGTTCCTGAGACAACTAGAACATGCTTAAGTGTATGTAAACACCCCCCCCCTGTAAAATAACCCATTAAGTTTAAAGTAGAAATTTATTTATATCACATACCTGCTGTACTCAGCTGCATGAAAAGGTGAGGATGGAGAAACAGCAGGATACTTGTCTTCCCAATGAATGGCTGTGCAGGGTGGGGTTATGTGACTACAAGTTTGATCATTGGAGGAAAGCAGACTTGAGTTCCCAACACAGCTAGAGAACTGACCACTCTGTGCACTGCGACCTAGTGAGGTAAGTTTTTGATAGGAAAGCAGAGGGACTGGCAGGAAAATACAAATCTAGCAATACAAAGAGAACAGGATACTTTTTTCATACAAGTACATGGTACAGCAAGCACATATCGGATATATGAATGTTGGGTTTACATATTCTTTGATTTCTAGTCCCTTTCAATTCTTGAGGTGATGCTCACCAAAACAAATAGAGAAAAGTAATTGTCCGAGCAGGGACAGAGATTGCAATAAAACTGACATATGTTCTAAATCCTTTACCCACAAAATTTTGTCCTTTACCCACAAAATTTCCTTTGTCCTTCGTCCTTTGTCCTTTACCCACAAAATTTTGCTATAATTAATTTTTTTTCCTTGTTTAGTTTTTATCAATTACTTTGCACATTTAATTTTTTTCATTTTGCATTGCAGTGGGAGCCAGTTCAATATTTTAATAACAAAATAATCTGCGATTTGGTTGAAGAGAAATTCAAAGGCATAATTTCCATTCTGGTGAGTGCAGTGTCTTCCTTGCTCATTGCTTGCATGATATGTTTGGAGCGGAAGCGGATTTTGTTATCGGTGGCATTAGTGATGGTTCTCCTGATTAAAACTGTTTTCCTCTTTGTAGGATGAAGAATGTTTACGTCCAGGAGAAGCCACAGATTTGACGTTCCTGGAGAAGTTGGAGGACACTGTGAAAAATCACCCACACTTTGTGACGTGAGTAATTTAATGAAATGAATGTATGATTTTTTTTTTTTTTTTTTTTCATATACTTGTTTATTTTTCTTTGTGTAAATCCATTATACTCTTATGATTTGGCTTCAGAGTTTGTATAACTGTTTACAAAAATGTGTCTATATAAATAAACCTTTTAAATAGTAAAAACTCTCTGCTTTTTTAAAGATGGGCTTTATTTTCGCTTACCAAGCCCTTATACTGTACTTGCAAAAGTAGCCATTGTGGAAAACATTTTTCAACTTTAAAAAAAATATGTATGCAATGTGCTGGATGCTTCTATATTTTAGAGAAGAGAGACAAATGTGTACTGTGTACAAATCTGATTCAGCTTCTCTTCACATGCTTTTCTTTTAATTATTTTGAATTCCACCCTTGAGGTGGCCTTTTTTTTTTTTTTTTTTTTTTTTTAAGTAAACAACTGAAGCACAGCTTGGGGTAGCCAGTGCAAGACCTAAAACTTTATAAATAGTAATTTAGTGGATTGATTCACCCTTATTCTAATTTGACCTGGACTCAGTTTATTTTTTTTGCAATGTAGCATATGCAGTAAATTGCTTCTTATTGGACACCAACATCCCTTTGTTACAGAAAATAGAAAACCAAACATGTATAGGAATTTACAAGTTCCCTAACACATACAGAATGTACACCACAGTGAAAATTCCCACTTTTTTTAATTTATATTTTTCTAAAACCTTGATCCTCAGAACCATAAAACCAAGTAATGCAGCAGACTAATTTTTCCTTGGGCAGTTATGCACAAATAAAACAGAGCGGCCAGGCATATGGCCTGGAAATAGAAGGTAAACTGCTAAAGGTTCTATTATTCAATGGACTGGAGGATATTATACTTTGTTTTCCCAAACATTTTTCTTTGCTTCTGTGCTCGTCTTTGATAAATAAAACTCATTTTCCCAGAATTGACCGATTTTTTTTTTTTTTTTTTTTTTTTTTTTTTTTTTTTTTTTTTTTTTTTTTTTAATTTTTATATTGTGTAACATTACTTTTTATCTGTTTAGTGCTATTTTTTTAAATTAAAATAACATGTTTATGCTTACCATTTCACAAAGCGGCCCCAAACCTTCTCCTGTTGGGTCCCCCACTTGCACTGTCCACTCCTTCTTTTCTTCATCTGCCTCCATAGCAAGCCACTTGCTGTGGTGACACACTGCAGGCTCGCTCCTGAGCGCGGCCCCACCTCCCGTGCCTTCCTTACTGAAATTGACCGCAGCAGGAGCCAGTGGCTGTCGCTGCTACCTCCATGTCCATTGAGGAGAGAGAGAGGAGAGTGTTGTTGCTCTTGGGCACAGAACTGAATTGAGATGGGGTTCAGGTAAGTATTGGGGGTGGGGGAGCAACATTTAAATATTTTTTTTTTTTTTTTTTTTTAATGCAGAAAATGTATTAAGGTGGAAAACTTTTAGCAATTAGAACCACTTTAGTTAGATGGCTGCTTTAACTTTCAAGTCTGTCCTTATAGAGCAGAAGGTATAGGTGTAGATTTTCTTTATTAGATCTGCTTCATTTACTTGCTACTGTTTACATTACAGACACAAACTTGGAGACCAAAAAACCCGAAAAGTGCTTGGCAGAGATGAATTCCGTTTGCTGCATTATGCTGGGGAAGTGAACTACAGTGTAGTAGGTAATTGCATTAGCGATCTTGCAGAGTAATGATTTTTCCCCCTCCGAAGTTAGCATTGCAGAGTGAGCATCCACCCATCCTGCCCTTGGTTCTGTGTATCTGTTTCCTGGCTTAGTTGGGCTGGCACATATACCATGTATCAAAGTCACTGTGACATCTGGTCATTTCAGCAAGAACATTGTTTTCCTGAGACAGAAGAACATTTGGAGCTAATTATACTTACTGGACAAATTGAGTATTTTCATTCTTAATGGCATTTGCAGTCAGGCATCTGCCTAAATGTAATATGCAACCCTCCAAATAAAGAACACCCTTTGCTTAGTAAGCAAGTCATATTCTAATTGGAGTTTAGAAATGTTTGTATTTATAAATAAAATATTTATAAATGGTTGCAGCATGGCATATAAATAGCATTCATGTAAACTTACAGATAGTCAACAATGAAAGAGACATTGGCACTGGTGACATTAATCAGAGTGACAGTGACAGACTGCACACAATCATGGTCGTTGACAGTCGATAGATTATACATAATTACATTAGATAATGGGGTGGAAAAAAATGTATGCATTGGCATTAGTCAGTATGATGATGGATTACTTACAGTAACATTGGTCAGCTTGACAATCTCATAGGGCATTGGCACAGTATAAGATGAAACCCTTTGGACGTGCACGTTTGCTAGGTGTTTGGAATGCCAACAACCATTAATGGCACATGTGCACATCTAACAATGGCAGCACACTCCTTTGCAATGGGGGAAATGTGTATGGAATATCCAACACCACAACTGGTTTGAACAGGCCCTTACACTGTCTGATCTCAGAGCAAGAGGCAGCAGTAGATGGCTAACCTGTGCAAGACAATATGTACACAAATCCAAGAAAATCAAGGCTAATGCATTGGCACTAACATTTGCATGACTGGGTCTTGTATAGGCAAGCATTTTTGTCCTGGAAATAAAAGAGAAGTGTGGACTTACTTTTTATTTATTTTTTTCCCCAATTATACTTACCTAGGTGGATGCAGCATCGGTCCGATGCCACATCTGTCCCCCACTGCATCTGTCCCCCACCGGCTCAAAGTGTGAGAACTCGGCGATCACCTGATTGCCAAGTTCTTACAGTGCCTCTGAGCAGAGGGTAGTGACTGTCAGTCACTGCTGTATGCTCTTGCCCCACAGGCTGTGGAGTGGGAGGGAACAGCTGGCTCAGGCTCTCGGCGGCTCGCTGAGAGGCTGAGCCAGGTGCTGCTCCAGACTCTGGGGTGGATCCCGACTTTGAAGTCGGGATTTTTCCCTAACCTGGACCAGCTGAATGACGTCAGCTGACAGTGGGCTTCAGCCTGCTGTCGGCTGAAAATGGGTCACAGGAGTGCAGAACGAACTGCACTCCTGTGATCCACAGGAGAAGTACAATCAAAAGAGCTTTGGCGGTACTTGTCCTCCTTTTAAATGGGGTTGACTCTAAAACAAAGATGGCACCAACCTTCTGTAGAGAGAGGAATGTGAATGAGATGGTGGAGACTACGATTGTTTGAGAGGTGATATATCTACATTTGTCACTATAGCTAAGTTACTTAATGCTACGGTAGTGTGAGCTGGAAAAAACAGGACATGCTGTCATTTTTTTATTTTCAGCGCATGTTGCGACTTACTGCACTGCATCACAAAGCACTGAAGTGCATGAAGATAAATGAAATATCATTTTGTGACCATTTAATAGGTACAATGCATTACACTGCTCTTTCACTGTGCACACCAGTGACTATGCAGTAATGCACGCTGCTGGTGTGAATGGGCCCTAATGAATGAAAACAATGTTACAAAGTTTTGGCCCTGAAGCATTCATCTGACAGCATGTTCATGTGTGTAAGGACAAAAAAAAAATTTGACTCACACATGCAATGTAGTTGTAATCCAATAGCCGCCCTTCCTTCCAGCCACACTGGATTTCCATGCATCTGCTGGATATTGATCATTAACCCTAAAGTGTTACTAAACCCAGGACCCTGCATTCACTATATCTGGTCTCCCACAGTACAGAGAACATGGAAATGCAATTATTTCGATAAATATAAATTGCTAAATACTTTGTCATCATCAGAGCAGTCTTGTGACTTTTCAGTGTCCAGCAGAGCACATGTTAAAGATTGTAGAAGCAGTTTTCTTTCTGCTCTAGGAGGAAGCAGAACCCCTGACCTCTGTCTGGACAGTGGTGATTGTCCCTGTGCTGATCACATGCACTCTCCCAAGAAAAAAAAATCCTTCTAGCAATACACACCAAACTGAGCATGTGCAGAGTGTCTCCACATGATATGTCTTGTCAGGAGATAGGGGGACACTGGAAGAAGGGGAGGATCAGATAAGTCAGGATCAAACAGCCTTTTTACACAATGCAGAGAATTAACCCCTTAGGTTCCATAGTGAGTATAACAAGCATGCTTTACTGCATATACAGAATGATTTTACTGTTGTGGGTTTAGTAACACTTTAACCACACACATTTGCAGCTCACAAGAAAATAAGCTGTTTGAAATGCAGACCTCCAAGTACTGCATTTGACTTGTATAATCATTTTTTTTAGCTTCACACATTGAGCACAGTAAACTACTTATACAAATGTGTTAAAATTCTTACCTCAGCACTTGCAGTTTACAACTCTCACTGCTGCAGGCTCTTGCTCTTTCATTGCTGCTTCCCTGAACTTTCAGTCTTCAGAAAACCATTAACAGGACAGTGCAATGCTTTAAACAAGGTTCATCTTACTCCTATAATCATCCCAAACATACTAATGTGTATCTTATATCTGGTTAGACAAATGTAAGAAGCCTACTAAATATATATACTTTTTTTCTTTAGGCTTCCTCGATAAAAACAATGATCTGCTGTTTCGCAATCTGAAGGAAGTAAGTTGAGGCCGGACACCATGTCTAATTGTTCACTTTGATTTTTTTTGTCTGGTAGTTGCCTGCAGCTGAAATATGTGGTGTGAAAATCCTTCTTTTGCTGCACCTAGCAATCTGCCCTCTTTTTCACAGGTTATGTGTGACTCTGGGAACCCGATTGTTCATCAGTGCTTTGACAGGTCTGAACTGACAGACAAGAAAAGGCCAGAAACGGTATGGACAGCTTTATTACCAGGAATTCCAGAGATTTCAAAGAAAAGTTTCATTACTTTAACCTCTTGTGGATCAATGACTATACATATATGGCTGGTCCACTCCACTATTATTCTGTGTCGCTTACTGGCCAGTGATCAGGAAGCACTGTTGCTTTCGCACATCATCCATGTGTGAGAGAGAAAGTGCGCCTCCTGACCACCAGCGAGCATCAATTCAATCCAGTACAGTACTAACACTATTAACTAATTTGCAACCGTGCTGTAGCCGAAAGACAGCTACAACACGGTTCTCCAGCTCTGGGGGGGGCGCATTGCATGACTTCCTCCCAGAACGCTCCCCCCCCCCCCCACGCTGTCAGTGATCGCTGTGTCCTATGGACACCGCTGCTCTCATGACAAGGTCAAAGGCCGACCACAGACCCTGATGAAGTCTCGTGACAGTGATGTAATGCATAGGTCGGAGAGCGGAATGTGATGTAATTTCTGACACGAACGGCCGCAGCCATATTGGTACACCCAGTACACCCATATCAACACGTGATTGATGCCTTACTTGATCTGTTCCCATGTTAGTGCGCATTTGTCTTTATAATAAATTTGATTAATTTGCAATATTACACTATGGAAGCACTTTTTCTTGTCTCCCTGGGAGTGCTGTGAGCTGGCTGTTTCTTTTTTCTGGTCCAACGAACCCCTGGCAGGAGTTCTGTGCGCTGGCGGATTTCCAAAGGTGTCCAAAGGTGAAAGATATATTACCACCTCTGAACAGTATGGTCCACCAATGAGGGAGATATCATCCCTACAGTGCCGTTTGGGATTCCACTTAAAGGGCCCCTGCAGTGAGTGTCCTTAACGCCTTTTGGCCCCTTGGGGTCTGGGCATGGAGGTGAGGAGGCAATTTAGCCGGTGTGGGATTCAACAATCATTTACCTATCCACGTTGTGTGTGTTTTTTTTTTTTTTTTTGAATGCGTTTTTGTTGGACGTTTTTGCACTTGGACTTTGTCGTATTTACTATTTTTTTTGTCACATGTTATTTATTTCTTCATTGTGTTCTTTTATTTTACGGTGCACAGTAATACATTCATTTGGTTTCACTGTGCATTTTTTATCACCATTTTCTGTTTTATACTAGTTGCACTCTATATATGTTTGCCACATTTATTTATGGTATTTATATGGTCACTTATTAGTCATTTTATGTCACATGGCCTTTTGATGCACATTGTGGTATGACTTCTTAGTTGCATGGTCACAGTTTTTGGCCTCACTGTGCGTTGTTATTCTTCTGTGATAAGTTGTTTGTCCACTTTTAATATTAAGCACTTCATTTTGTATTTTTCACATTTTGCTCCACTTTCTCATCAGTTGTATTCACATTATTTCTTTATGTTGTGATGGACTCATATGTCCCACTCTTACTGTGATTTAGTTAATATTTTATTTCTCCCTCGTCATTTCCGTACGTTTTGCCCATGGTCACGATTTATTGTCTGTTACACCTTTTGGTCCTCATTTTTGGACCTTTATTATTTCACCTTTCCCTTCACTCCCATATTCCTTCCATTTACTGATTATGTTATGGTGTATTATCTATTGTCTTCTCATCTCATTATTTCTTTTGGAATGTCTGTGGCATTATTGTGATTAGCGCAACATCAATATTCTGTTTATTTGCTACTGGTATAGCCAGGTGTGTGCTGCTGTCCCAATAGTCCCATCTTTTCTAGTAGCAGCTAGAAAACCTTTTCCATATTTTTCACAGCTGCCTTTTACCATGTGTGAATAGCTGTGTCCAATGACACAGCAGATCACCAAGTAAATACAGTTGCCGGTTATGGTTATCGGCAGCACTTTCCTCACGCTGTCACAGGCAAATGTCACAGAGCAGATCCGCACTGATTATCAGTGACCTGATCATCAGTGCCGTCCAGTTGCACCCAGCAGCACCGCCCATTAGTGCCCATCATTGCTGCAGATCAGTACAGCATCTTCAGTGCCTCCTCATCAATTCCCCCTAGTGCGACCTCATCAGTGCTGCCTATCCATACCACCTCATCAACGCACATCAGTAAAGGAGAAAAATTACCTATTTGCAAAATTTTATAATAGAAACAAAGAAACTTTTTCCCAAACTTTTTGCTCTTTTATTTTGTTTATAGTGCAAAGAATTAAAACCCCAGTGGCGATTAAAAACCACCAAAAGTTGTGTAAAAATTTCATATGGGTACAAAGTTGCATAACCGCGCAATTCTCATGTAAAGTGCGATAGCACTGAAAGCTGAAAATTGGCATGGACAGGAAGAAGGTGAAGTGGTAGGCAAGTGGTTAAAAACCTCTCTGCTTTATTGCACACGCTATACAATACTCCCTCAGCTCAAGTTTCCATTAGAGGCTACAGATCCTCTATGTTCTCTGTTCGACACTAGATAGGGTTGTCCACTTTCCCTATTGCTTTTCACATTGGCGATAGACCCCTTAACTATGGTCATCCGTTCCCATTCTAAAATCCATGGTGTCCATTGTAGACAACAGGAACATAAATGTGCCTTATTTGCTGACGATGTTCTTATGTATATTACCTCCCCTTTTGATCACCTTACCTAACCTACTGTCTCTTTTGCACCAGTTCTCTGACCTTAGTGGGCTTTCCTTAATCTCTCATAAGACGTCAGCCCTTAACGTTTCCTTATACTCTTCTGTAGAACAGCAGCTCAGGACTACTTATAACTTTCAGTGGGCACGCAACACTTTGTTTTATTTAGGGATCCAATTAACTTCTAATTTTGAGACCCTCTATCAAGCGAACTACACCCCCCCCCCCCCCATTTTAAAAAAACCTAGAGATTATCTTCGTCATTGGGCTGACTACTCCTTATCCTGGTTTGACATCAACTGGATTAAAATGACATTTTTGCCGTGATTGCTATATTATTTCAGAATCTTACCAAATCCAGTTCCAAGACGGGAGTTGCAGCATTTACAAGCTGAGGTTCTTTGCTTTGTTTGAGACATTGAGACAATAGAAGACCTCGGATGAACCATATGACATTATATTTCTCCAAACCACAAGGCAGGACTGGTCTTCCTAACCTTCGAACATATTTCCAAGCTGCTCAGATTGCCCAATTGGCCTACACCACTGCTAAGGGACCTACCCCCCTCTGGGTTTTTATTGAAGCTCTCTCCTGCCACCCCATCGCAGTCGGCTCTTTACTTTGGCTTCCTAATAGATCACGCCCTCCTATACTATGCCCCACTCAAATCATATTCTTTGACAGTCTGGGACAGAGTGCACAAATCACTAGCATCTCCACACACGCCCTTGGCTTCTGTTTTTTGTAACCCTGAATTTGTACCTGGTTTAGTACCTGCTCCATTTCAATGGTGGATCAGTAAAGGACTGCTGCGGATAGGAGACTATCTTAAGGGTGATTGAGTATACTCTTTGACGCACTTTAAAGATCAGTTGCAAATGCCCTCTACCGAAATCTTTAGATACAATCGGATTGTCTTTTATTTGCTCGAAGCTTACTTTATTGGATGAGCCACCCATATTTACCAATTTTGAACTTTCCTGCCAAAAGGGGTTTTCCCCAGAGGCCGTGTCTCTTCAGTATATGCTTTTCTCACTGATCCGAATTGTAAGCTTCCCTATATGGATCAATGAGAACGGGACCTGAATGTCACTTGTGACTTGTCTGATTGGCAAGATATTGCCTTTGCATTATCGAAAGTATCCATGAACACTACTTTAATCAAAGCGAATTATAAAACGTTATTAAGATGGTACTTGGTCCCTACCCAGACTGCGAGGACGCATCCATCTTCTTCACTGATGGGCTTCTGGCGTTGTGGCCAGATGTGTACTATGTTTCACATCTGGTGGCAATGTCCGATAATGACCAGATTTTGGATCTGTATGTTTAATGTCATCTATTCGGTGACGGGTGAATATTCGCAGATCCCTGGAGCTGGCCGTCTTTCATAAATTCCCGGATGACGTTCCCAGAAAGTCTCTTAAATTGATCACCTATATGCTGTTGACAGTGAGAATCACTATAGCTAGACATTGGAAGCAATCGGTCATCCCGCTTGACTATGATAAGAATAAACTGAATTGGATTATGATTAACGACAGACTCGCCTGTATTCCACACAATACTAGAAAATATGATAAAACATGAGAATCGTGGATTCAATATATTTCTGCGTCCTGACTTGACCCCCTCTTTTTCTACTCCTTTATATTTATTCTTTATCACTCCTTTTTTCTTTTTTTTGTTTTTTTTCCTGTCCTCTGGGGTTGGTTATGCCTAACCTCTGTGTTCTACATTTGTTAGGCCTCAAACGACACTGACTGTGTGTAATCTCCGGTCCACAGTGGTTCTTCCCTTTCCCCTTCCAATACTTTTCCCATCTCCCCCCTCCCTGTTTCCTTTCCAGCTTCCCTTCCCCCTCCTTTACCCTACTACTATGTCCTTCCCATATATATATATGTGGTTAGATAAATTATGTGGACTTTTCTATTTGGGTTATCCAATATCTACTCTACAGAGTCTCTGGTCTCCTGTTGTGTGCTTTATGTCTGATAAACCATGTTCTTTTGTGTTGTGTCGAAATCTACGTTTTGTGACATGACTATTGTTTACTTGTTCTATCTGTTATTTTGAAAAAATTGTTCAATTAAATCTATTGGAAAACTAAAATCCAATCTTCTGTCACTCACCGTTCTTATATATGTCAGCTGCATCCTCTCTCTGATCTGACCTGTATATTGTGATCTGTTAGGTCAGCTTAACCGCTTAATGCCTGACCCACAGTACATTTATTGCTGCAGGGTGGGCCCGCTGCGCAAAATCATGTGTGTATATATACATAATTTTGCATTTCTTGGTAGGAGGCGCACGTGACCATCCTACCTGGTCCGCCGATCATGGCCCTGGGTATCAATCACCAGGTTCCGGCCGGTGATTACCCGCCGGCGCCTGGTGATTACCAGCAAACACCAACAGGGAGGAGGGCAAGTGCACACTGATCGGGATGGCTGAAAAATCGTTGCGTGAGTACTATGTGACATAAAAAATTGCAGTACCCACCATTTTATTCACTAGAGTGACTGCTTTAAAAAAATATATATAATGTTTGGGGGGTTCAAAGTAATTTCCTAGCAAAAAATACTTTTTTTTTTTTTTTTTTTTTTTTTTTTTTTTTTTTTCATGGGAACAAAAAGTGTCAGAAGAGGCTTGGTCTTCAGGTGGTTAGAAGAGTGAATAAAGTGTGGCATAAACTTCTAATGCTGGGCATAAAATGCCCCCCACCCCCCCCCCCAAAACTACCCCTTTTTGGAAAGTAGACAACCCAAACTGTTTGAGGGGCATGTTGAGTCAGTAGAAGAATTTGTTTTTTTTTTTTACAATTTTTTGGAAAATTACAATAAAATAAAAAATGTTTACACAAAAGTGTCTCTTAAATTATTTATTGCTTACACATGCCATGGGTATATGTGGAATTACTCCCCAAAATACATTCTGCTACTTCTTGTGAGTATGGGGGCACCACATTTGAGAGACTTTTTGGCAGTCTAGTCAAGTACAGGACCCCAAAATCCAATAAGCACCTTAAGGTTTTTAAAGGGCATTATTTCCTCATTACACTTCCTGACTACCTATCACAGTTTCGGAGTCCCTGAAATATCAGGATAGCACTGAACCCCCCCCCCCAAATGACCCCTTTTTGAAAAGTAGACTCCCAAAGGAATTTGATAAGAAGCATGGTGAGTATTTTGCAGATCTTGTTTGTTGCCACAAGTTTTTGGAGAATGAAGAAAAAAAAACAAAAACATATTTTTTCTTTTCTTTTTTTTATATTTCAAAACCTTGTGAGAAAAAATTAGATCTGCAAAATACTCACCATGCCTCTTTTTAAATTCCAGGTGCTATCTTGGCACTTCAGGGCCTCTGAAACTGTGATGGGTAATGAGGAAGTTACACACCTTCAGGCTTTCAAAGTGGTCATTGGATTTCAGGCTCCTGTATGAGGCTAGGCTCCCAAAAAGTCTCACATGTGGTATCCACATACTCGGTAGGAGTAGCAGAATGTATTTTGGGGTGTAATTCAACATATACCCATGGCTTGTGTGAGAAATATATATAATTTAAATGAAAACTTTGAGTAAAAAAGAAAAAAGTTGTCATTTTCCAAAAACGTGTGGGAAAAAAAAATAGATCTTCCATGGACTCAATATGCCTCTCAGCAGATAGCTTAGGGTGTCTACTTTCAGAAAAGGGGTCATTTGGAGGTGTTTTTACTATCCTGGTATTTTAGCACCTCAGAAAATGTAATGGGCAGTCAGAAAGTAAAAGCTGCTGTGTAAATTCCATGATCTATACCATAGTTTTGTAGACGCTATAACTTTCACACAAGGCCATCAATATACACTTACTGGGATTTTTTTAACCAAAAACATGTAGCAGAATACATTTTGGCCTATATTTATGACGCAATTTGAGGTTTTTTGGATATTTTTTATGACAGAAATGAGAAAATATAGTTTTTATTTTTTGTTTTTTTGTGTGTTTTTTTTCAAACATTTTTTTTGCTTATAGCACCAAAATTAAAAAGCACACAAGTGATCAAATACCACTGAAAGAAGGCTCTATTTGTGTGAAGAAAAGGACAGAAATTTCATTTATGTATTGCATGACTTGTCAATTGTCAAAGTAGCGCAGTGCTGTATAGCAAAAAAAATGGCGTAAACTGCAGTATCTATACCATAGTTTGTAGACGCTATAACTTTCACACAAAGCAATCAATATACACTTATTAGGATTTTTTTTTTACCAAAAACGTAGCAGAATACATTTTGGCCTAAATTTATGGCTAACTTTTGAGTCAAGGAACAATATTTCTTATTGAAACTTCAGTGCTGATTCGCACATGTGCTGTGCTGATTCGCACATGTGCTGTGCTGATTGAAGCTCAGGTTTCACAGCTGATTGATAAAGTACTTGTTCAGCGTTTCAGGTCAGGTTTAGATCAGATTCAGGTCAGGATTTTATCCCGTTCACAACTGACAACGTGCGGTTAAGAAACAGTTCCCGTAGAAGTCCATAGCCTGTCATCCGCACCTGAACCAGACTGCGCTGCTCAGAAATCAGACATTACTCTTTTTGAATCCGCACTGCCAGTGCACTGGAAATATGTGAACAGCCACCATAAAAAGCAATCTTATTTCACATGTCATGCGGTTTGCATGCAGTTCAAACCACATCCAGTCTGCATGTATGTGAACTGGCACTCTTTATCTTGTGATAAAGGGTAGTTTATTGACTTTTGTGAACAGCATTGACTTGTGTGAACAGCATCAAAGCAAACCGTTTTGAAAAGCTCTACCTGCTGGCTCAACAGCCAAAAGCAAAAATATTTCATATTCTCCTCCTCCTAATTTTAAAAATTATATAAAAAAACACTGAACATTCTCTTCAAATGGTGATCTCTCCTCTACTTGCAGGCCTTGCTTGCTGTAGCCTTCCTTCAGCCTGTAAAAAATTTCACATCACTATAATTACTAAGAATATGCTTAACTAGTTTGTCTCTTATTATTTCCTTGTTTGTGTTCAAGAATGCGTCTTTGCATGCTTGGCCCATGTTTGAGGCGGTGCTTGTCATCTGCTTAGACAGTTTATCATTTTATTTTCTTTGTCTTTCAGGCAGCAACACAGTTTAAAAATAGCTTATCAAAGCTGATGGAAATTCTTATGTCCAAGGAGCCTTCCTACATACGGTGCATAAAGCCCAATGACGCCAAACAAGCAGGTAAGTGTCAAGCATTGTAAGATCTACAAAAGGATTTAGACATTTCAATGTACATACTGTATATCTTGCATTTAATGCCAGTTTCTGAATGGTTAATAAAAAGGTTGTCAATACATAGAAATGTTAAAAAGTTATTTATAGCACCTGCTAGCTTGTTTTCAGGGTCACTAAATTAAACATCTAATTGGCTGTTGATGGCAACGCCTTTCATTTGGCTTTCTTTCTTTCATGAAAGCAGGCCCACTTAGTCTTACAGAGGTGCACAATTATATTTATATTATGGATCCAATGCCATTGTGTATTTTATGGCACCTCAGTTTGCTGTTCAACTTCCCCCAGATTTGTGTTTCTAAATTGTGATGGTTCTGTTTAATCATATGATCTCAGTAATAGCTTGTAGGACCCAGTTTTGGTCATCACCCATTGATTATACGTTTACAGCAATGCAGTATTTTCTCCATGGCACCAACTAAATAAAAAGTAAAAAAAACATTTTCATGTGCGGGTATTGATCATTTGAGGAAAAGTTCTTCCTTACACCTTTTTCTCTTTCAGCTCGTTTTGATGAAGTGCTGATCAGACACCAAGTGAAATATCTGGGACTTATTGAAAATGTGCGAGTACGCCGTGCTGGATTTGCATATAGACGAAAATATGAGATCTTTTTACAAAGGTTAAATGAGAAAAACTAGTGAAATTATGTATATGGAAGGCACTTGCCCCACATTGTTGTGTATGTGCATGAATTAACATTCTGGTTTTATTCCTAGGTACAAATCTCTTTGCCCTGATACCTGGCCTAACTGGGATGGCCGAGCAATGGATGGTGTGGCTGTTCTGGTCAAGAGCCTGGGGTATAAACCAGAGGAGTATAAAATGGGCAGGTATGCTAAATTTAATATAGATTGTGTCTAAAGCCAGTTTATAGCAGACCGTAACTTGCATGTCTTCATGTTGTTTTTAAGGACAAAGATATTCATTCGGTTCCCCAAAACCCTCTTTGCAACAGAGGATGCTTTAGAAGTCCGGAAGCACAGTATAGGTTTGTATATTTTGCTGGCATGTTTAAAGTGTTACCTGAACTGTTCTTTTAGTCTTTCTAGCTTTGACAGCTTACTTTAAAACATACAATCAAGAGTTAGTTTGGGTGTTGGGGTCAATAGACATTTCAAATACTACCTCATGGAAATGCATGATTCCTGTTTTATGTAGGTCACAATACCTTACCCTTTCTCTTTCAGCAACCTTTCTCCAAGCTAGGTGGAGAGGATACCATCAACGACAGAAATTCCTACACATGAAACATTCCGGTGAGAAAGTGTGGGCTTGTTTCAGATTTTGCGTATTGGAGCTTAATATCTAACTTTTTAGTTTCGTGTAGAGCGAGAAAGGGTTGCACTTGTTGTCTGGCTTTTAAATGTTGTCTGGGTTCTCTTTGTAAAGACTTGGCTTCACTTCCTGTTTTGTCTGACACCTGTCACCTAAGTAGAAAGTAAGGGGGGAAAAAAAAACATGCAGAGAACCCATAAATATTTTTATGGGTTCAGGATTTAAGAATGTTCATTTTTCCTAATTATTAGTTGGGTCAAATCTGTGTTTTTCAACCATAGTGTTGAAAAATTTTGAAGGAGCAGTGTGGAATATTTTTTATAAATTTATTTACAACAATGTATGTGGTTTTTCTTTGGAAAATTACGTTCATTCCAAAATCGAATACTAAGGGACAACTCCACTTTCATGGAAACAATGTAGACAAATTTAAAAAAAATACAAAAAACATAGGCGGCATACGTTATGTTATTTTATTACAAATTGCCTTTCCTTTGCAATCTGTAGCGCTATAATATGGCAACCTGGATATGTATTTTCATGCAGTTCTGGGACAGAACAGGTTACTGCCACTGGAAGCCTAGGGATAGCAGTCTGAAGTGCTTGGTTCAAGCCCTGGTTCTATCAGCTATTGTGATAGTTTCCCAAAACCATAGTAAAAAAAACTTGCCTATTTTTCTAATGTGATACAGTGTCAGGACAAAAACCACAGTGAGAATGTGATTTCTCTAGGCAGAGCAAGGAAAAGAGAAAAGGTTTCATAACTAAAGGGTCCATCATGTAATTTGTCTGGGACACCTTCAACTAATCTGAAATAATTTTTATTTGCTTTCTTCTGTAGCTGTAAATATCCAGTCTTGGTGGCGTGGAACAATAGGCAGACGAAAAGCTGAAAAAAGAAAGTGGGCTGTGGATGTCGTTCGGCGGTTAGTAGTTAACTATGGCTTTTACGCCTACACTAGGTGTTTAAAGTGATTGCAAACATTCCATTTTTTTTTTTTTTTAAATATGTCATACTTACCTGCTCTGTGCAATGGTTTGCACAGAGCAGCTCCGATCCTCCTCTTCTTGGGTCCCATGTCGGCGCTATTGGCTCCTTGCCTCTGCTAAATGCCCCTATAGCAAGCTGCTTGCTATGGGGACACTCATGCTGCCTTGCTCTTAAGCCCCACTCTGCGTGTCAATTGACACACAGAGTGTGGCTCGGCCTGCTCCTTCCTCACTGGCTGTGATTGACAGCAGCAGGAGCCAATGGCTGCCACTGCTGTCTTGGATCCAATGAGGAGAGAGCGAGTCGAGAGAGCCACTGCTCTTGTGCACATTGCTGGATCCAGATCAAGCTCAAGTAAGTATGAGGAGGGGGGAGAGCAGGCCACAGAAGGTGTTTTTTTTTTTGTTTTGTTTTTTTGGTGTTTTTAACCTTAATGCATAGAACAACCACTTTAACTTGTTTGTACAGCATAGGCTCAGAATAATTTTATCACTTCAGGAAAAAGTAATACAAGCTCTCTGCAATGAAAACCTCTGAATACATATGTGGGAAGAGTGCCCAACCTCACTATCTTCAAATCTGCTGACTTCTGAGTGTGTTTAGTGCCTGGCACCTGCTGCACTCCGAGGTTTCTCCCATCAGTCTATACAGCACTACTGTGTTGTGTGGTGGCTTGGGGCTTACAGATGGAACCACAGTGCATGGGTGATGCAAACGTTTGACACTCCTGGAGGTGTTCAAAAACACATCCCTTTCTCCTAATTTTTTTTAACCTAAGGAAAAAGTAGGTGTCCTGTGGTCCAGAGTAATCCAGAGCATGCAGCTTCAACCCTACTGTTCTATTCTGTATCCATCACAAACACAACATAGATCAGGGAGGAGATCAGTCCTTATTAACAAAGGGACTTGTTAATTGGAGAGTGGTGAAAGCATTATGCTTACACCACTCTTTGTTAATTACCCTCTGCAGTTTTGCCATTTTTCCCATTAGTAGATTCTATATTTTGCCTTATGATGATAAAGTTTAGTAATAAATGTACAGAATTCCTATAAAAAAAAAAAGCTAAATAGCTTATCTGGAATAAATGGTGTTATTGATTTTAGATTTCAGCAGCTGACTATAGTTCTTAAAGGATGTTGTCATCTTGCATCACACATGGTTTGCAGGAATTTTTTTGTCTATTAGAGAATGAACATAGTGCAGAGACTGCTGCAAATAGACTATAGCAGTCTTTTGCGTGTATGATATAACAGAGATTAAATGATTATCCTGGGTCCACGCAAGACACTAGGAACTGGGTTAAGAATCAATGACATGGGCAACTGAGTTTAAGAAGTTTATATATAATGCAAGCTAGGTTCTGTGTTTGTGTGTATTTCTGAACATATACACAGTACTGGTACATGGGTACTTCTCCAATGTTTGTCTACATTCTGATAATATTTTGCAGTTATGCTTGTTAATGGGGTTAAAAACAAAGGATATTGAGGAAAAACATGACAGGAGGGGAGACACCTGACTTGAATGTTTTAAAACTACCAGTGAGAATTATTCTAGTGCAGCAATTAAAAATGGATCAGATTGGTTACTATGGGCATCATGGACACTCCAATATGGGTTATATTGGACCCATAAGACAACAGAATAGACAACAGCAGATATTTTTTAAATGTGAGAGGGGCAAACTCCATTGGCCATTATGTTTACCTTCTTTATTCTTGCAAACAAATTCCGCTGTTTTATATATTTATATTTCTAATTTGTTTAGTAATCCTGTATCCTCTGTTTTTAAAGCTACATAGGGAAAGTAGTAATTGAACTGCAAGATTATGTACGATCTGGAAGTTGAATTGTCTGTCTTAGGAGAAATCATGATATAGACATGCGTTTACCTAAGGCATACTTGCACACCAGTGGTGTGGAGAGGTAAAATGCTTAGCAGACATCCACTGATCCAGCCTTGTAAAGGGGAACACTATGGCGTTCAGTTGTCAAAATTTAAATTTTGGCCTATTAATGTTCCCCCAAGAAAGTTTTTAAGAAGGAGAGATGTCTGCCATGGTTAGGTAGGGCTTACAGATATACAGAAGTTTCCTGATGTGACAGTAAAAAGACCAGGAGGTGTGAATGTTCTTTTGGTGTCTGTACACACTGCTTTCTTCATATCAATCATTAGTCAATAGTTCTGACCTCTGAGAAGGCAAGATATGGCCACAGTTTGTGATGTACAAATTTGAAATGCTATTTCAACTATATGGTCGTGTTTTCAGCAGAATAGCAGACTTACTCCTTCTAGGGTAGAGTGTAATATTGGGGGTACAGTGTTGGCCAAAATTACAGAGGAAAAAACTGGGCGTGCTTATTTCAAATGATTGCAGAATGAGTAAAGCAAATAAGTTCTGTAGTGCAGGACTGAAATGGTCTTGATTCCCCTGTATACAGTATGTCACAGAAGTGAGTACACCCCTCACATTTTTGTAAATGTTTTTATTATATCTTTTCATGTGACAACACTTAAGAAATGACACTTTGCTACAATGTAAAGTAGTGAATGTACAGCTTGTATAACAGTGTAAATTTGCTGTCCCCTCAAAATAACTCAACACACAGCCATTAATGTCTAAACCGCTACACCACTAAGTGAAAATGTCCAAATTGGGCCCATTTTCTCTCCCCGGTGTCATGTGACTCCTAAGTGTTACAAGGTCGCAGGTGTGAATGGGGAGCAGGTGTGTTTAAATTTGGTGTTATCGCTCTCACATTCTCATACTGTTCACTGAAAGTTCAACATGGCACTTCATGGCAAAGAACTCTGAGGATCTGAAAAAAAAAAAAGAATTGTTGCTCTACATAAAGATGGCCTAGGCCAGTGGTGGGCAACCTTTTTTTTCAACTGAGCCAAATCTCGCCAAAACCACGATTGAAATTTATTTTGAGAGCCACATTTTTAAAACTGAAAATACATCCCCCATATAGTAATTCATCCCCCATATAGTAATTCATCCCCCATATAGTAATTCATCCCCCATATAGTAATTCATCCCCCCTATAGTAATTCATCCCCCCTATAGTAATTCATCCCCCCTATAGTATTTCATCCCCCATAGTAATTCATCCCCCCTATAGTAATTCATTCCCCATATTGTGTCAATTCACTTACCTTTGCTCCGCGCGTTCCTCTCGCCGTGTTCCCGCGCCGTTCTGGTCTTCAGGGCGGACTGTGAGAGGAGAGGAGTTCGTCACGCTGCCCCGCCTACATCCTGGCTGCCCCGCCTACATCCTGACAGCTGCAGAGTCCTGACTTTTGGGGCGGCCACCCGAGAGGGAGGGAGGGGAGGGGAGGGGGCCGGCCGCCCGAGAGGAGGGAGGGGAGCGGGCGCCCGGCACACAGAAGAGCCACATTTAAGTTTGTAAAGAGCCGCATGTGGCTTGCGAGCCGCGGCTTGCCGACCACTGGCCTAGGCTATAAGAAGATTGCCAAGACCCTAAAACTGAGCTGCAGCATGGTGGCCAAGACCATACAGTGGTTTAACAGGACAGGTTCCAATCAGAACAGGCCTCGGCATGGTCGACTAAAGAAGTTGAGTGCATGTGCTCACTGTCCTATCCAGAGGTTGTCTTTGGGAAATAGACGTGTGAGTGCTGCCAGCATTTCTGCAGAGGTTGAAGGGGTGGGGAGGTCAGCTTGTCAGTGTTTAAACCATACGCCGCACACTGCATCAAATTGGTCTGAATGGCTGTTGTCCATAAGGAAGCCTCTTCTAAAGATGATGTACAAGAAAGCCCACAAATAGTTTACTGAAGACAAGCAGACTAAGGACATTGATTACTGGAACCATGTCCTGTGGTCTGATAACACAACGATAAACTTATTTGGTTCAGATGGTGTCAAGCGTGTGTGGCAGCAACCAGGTGAGGAGTACAAAGACAAGTGTGCCTTGCCTACAGTCAAGCATGGTGGTGGGAGTATCATGGTCTGGGGCTGCATGAGTGCTGCCGGCACTGGGGAGCTATAGTTCATTGAGGGAACCATGAATGCCAACATGTACTGTGACATACTGAAGCAGAGCATGATTCCCTCCCTTCGGAGACTGGGCCGCAGGGCAGTATTCCAACATAATGACCCCAAACACACCTCCAAGACTACCACTGCTTTGCTAAAGAAGCTGAGGGTAAAGGTGATGGACTGACCAAGCATGTCTCCAGACCTAAACCCTATTGAGCATCTGTGGGCATTCTCAAACGGAAGGTAGAGGAGTGCAAGGTCTTTAACATCCACCAGCTCCGTGATGTCCTCATAAAGGAGAGGAGGAGGACTCCAGTGGCAACCTGTGAAGCTCTGGTGAACTTCATGCCCAAGAGGGTTAAGGCAGTGCTAGAAAATAATGGTGGGCACACAAAATATTGACACTTTGGGCACAATTTGGACATTTTCACTTAGGGGTCTACTCCCTTTTTTTGCCAGCGGTTTAGAGTTATTTTGAGGGGACAGCAAATGTACACTGTTATACAAGCTGTGCACTCACTATCTTACATTGTAGCAAAGTGTCATTTCTGCAGTGTTGTCACATGAAAAGATATAATAAAATATTTACAAAAATGTGAGGGGTGTACTCACTTCTGTGAGATACTGTAGGTCTTTAGTTAGACCTCATCTAAAATACTTTGTCCAGCTCTGGAAACTTTGCTTACAGAAACACATTTCTAATATAGAATGGGTCCAGAGATGGGGAAAAAAAATGGGGAAAGACCTGAGGAATAAAACATATCTATATATAGAATTCAGGAACTTAATACTTAATCTTAAGGAAAGAAGGGAAAGGGGGGCATAATTGAAACCTTAAATTGTTCATGACAGGTATTTATATAGCGCTAGTAATTTAAAGTGTTCTTTAAATATTGTACATTTACATCAGTACATGCCTTACTATCTAAAGTCACATGCATACTTACACATACTAGAGCCAATTTATACAGGCGCCAAATAATCTACCAGCATGTCTTTGGAGTGTGGGAGGAAACCAGAGTACCTAGAGGAAACTCATGGAAGCACAGGTAGAACATACAGATTCCATGCAGGTTGTGGCCCTGTTGGGATTCAGTCCAGTGATACAAGCCATAATACATTAAGGATGTGAATAGGGTTCAGGAGTGCAGTAGTTTCAATATAAAGCGAAGATCAAGAATGCAGTTGCATGACCTCAAACTGTTAGGACGAAAATTCAAACTAGCCTTACAATTTACCAAAAGAAAAGTTGATGCTTGGACCAAACTTCCAGCCACTAGCATGTCAGTAAATTAGTGAATTTAAACACGCTTAGGACAAATGCATGTGTTTAGACAAACAAGAAAAAAATCCAAAATCAATAAAGGTCCACTTCAACCTTTCCTACGTCACCCTTTTATGTTTCTATTTTTAAACCTTTTTTATTTATATATAGATATATTAAGAATAGATCTTTTAATAATGTCGACTTCTTATGAAAGGAAGTGACCCCAGATTTATGCACTCACAAATTCAGCTAGCAGTGGAATGTGGAATGTTTCCAGATAACATGGGAAATAATACATCTCCTGCATTCGTAAATAATGTTCCAGATCATAGAGCTTGATAACTCTAATGGGCATTCCTGACTATCCACATACATAAGTCTACATAATTGTCAAGTACTGATAAATAACCTTTCTCCACCATGTCCTACTCTTCTCTCTCTCTCTTTTTTTTTTTTTTTTTAAACTAAGCACGCATAGGGAATGGTTTACTGAAACTGGAGAGTGCAAAATCTGGTACAGCTGTGCATGGTAGCCACTCTGCTTCTAACGTCAGCTTGTTCAATTAAGCTTTTTAATTGTTTTTTAAAGGTGTTCATTTTGTATTTATTAAACACAAACAATAACAGAACAAGGGGAAGACAAATAATAACAGGAACTCGAAACATAAATCAGAGAATAAGGATACAGAAAAGGGGATAAAAAAAACTAAATTATTGTACGCAAGAAACCCAATACATATAAAAAAAAGAGAATCACAAAACAAATTAAATAACAGGTAAGCAGTCAGATACATACAACAGCAGCCAAACACATACAAAAGTCACAAACAAGCACAAACACCCGCACTATCATCTCTTTTACAAATCAGAGGAAATCATTAGCATGTGGAATCCAACCACTCAAACCATAGAACCCTGTGACAATGGTTGTGACAAGAGAGCATCTCCCCAGAAAGAGTCCGCTATATCTAGCCAAGACTGCCAGATTTTCATAAAATCTTTGGGACAGGCCCGTCTGTTTATAGATATGCTTATATTGAGGCAGCTTCAATTAAGCTTTGACAAAAAAAATGTGAAGCTGATTGATTTCAGTGCAGAGCTGCATCGGATTTTGCACTCTCCAGTTTTAGTAAATCAACCCCACAGTATTCTAATGACTGTCCATGCAGTCTTTACATAAGTTGGAAATGTCATATTAAAGCTGATTTCCAGCTTTGCTGTCACTTTAAATAGTTTGAGTCAAGCTGGCCCAAAGGAGCTATTTCTTACAATAACAGGTGCGCCTGCTGTTCCTCGGCTACATACACTATACATGTCACAATCTCCACCTCGGCTAACCAGAGGAACCAAAGTATTTGTGCCGCTCAGCCGAATGGCGTTTTTTTTCCAGGTGAGGAACAGGATGTTCATGTCCCGTAGCCAAAACACAAGGTAGCGAATTAGGGGAAGTTTTGTATTCAATCAGAGAAGACAAAGCTGCCTATGAATGGCTGAGCATTTTTCAGCTTGACTCAGTTTTTTTGAGTGTGGAACAGGATGCTTGTGTCCTATAGCTGGAACACAATGCTGTATTACTGTATGTGTAGCTGACTCTACATACAGTTTATACAGCATGTACATAAATCACACCTGTTGGTGTAGGAAATAGTTTGTTTGGGCCAGTTGACAGTAAAGCTAGAAAAGCTGTTTTAATGAATATATGCTATTAGCTAACACATTGATTTTGTTTTACTGTAAAGTTTATTAGTCAAATATGTGGTAGCATTAAATGATGGGCAAATAGAGTATGTGCAGTAACGAAATGTGAATGGCTATGTGGGAAATGACTTGTGAATTGTATGTTTTTATCGGTCTGCAGTTTTATCAAGGGCTTCATTTACCGCGATCAGCCCCGTTGCACTGAGAATGAGTATTTCCTGGACTACATTCGCTACTCGTTCCTTATGAACCTCTATCGGAATCTGCCAAAGAATGTGCTGGACAAGTCCTGGCCTGTGCCACCTCCATCGCTCAGAGAGGTGAGCAGACAAAGTGCCTTCTCTTCAGCGATGAACTGCAAAGTTCTCAGCCTTGGACCTGCTTTAAGTATATGCCACAAGAGTAATATTGCTTCCTCAAAGAAGCAGTGCTCTGAAGGTGTGGCAATATAGCCAATGTTGTGCAAGGAGTGATTATTACATTATTACATCACTGTAATTTCTAGCCTGGAGGATACGTTAATCTGAGACGCAATGTCTCTTGTTATCTCCATAGAGTACTATCTTTATTGGTAGGTAGGATAAAGCATACTATGCATATAATTTCAGCGCGTTGTTCATTAAACTTACAATACCATCTCCACATACAGTCAGTCAGTAGTATCTCTGGACTACCTTTCCTTATCTTGAAATGCCTGAGGATATGAAAGTTAGATTACTTACCACAGCAGAGTAAATAAAAGTACATTGCGAACATAAGGAAGTTTGTAAGTAGAATTTTAAAGATGAACTAGTAATTATTACTAAGTTAATTTGCAAGCCTTTTTTGACTTTTCAGATAAGATAATGTTTTTTGTAGCATATTTTCATAATCTGTTTTAATATGCAAAGCTGTGATTTTCTTTCTAATGTTCTTTTATTCTGGACAGTTTTTTTTTCTGAAGATAAAATTACATATATCAATCCATATTGTGTATTATTTTCAGCTTTTCTTTTTGGGTATAAGCTGGTCTTTAAGCATTCATGAACTTTAAAGGGTCGTCTGTGTGTGTGTCTGTGTATTAAAACAAGAAGTGCTTTTTTATCTGTCTTCCCCCTGCATCCTACCTTGAGTGAATGAGTTTTGTATGTTTTCTGCAGCACCAGAAGAGCAAGATGTTGTAATAGATGCTGGGGTTGCCTTGTTTACCCAGCGGCATGCAAGGAATGTTCAGGATGGGACTAACCCTTTAATTTGTTTCATTGGGGTGGTTGTTGTCAAGTTTACCTGCTTATAGATGTAAATTTGTTATGTTGCAACCCTCCTGTCGATGTACTATTTTATTATCATTTTAGTTTTATTCAAATAATTCTAGAGGACAAATTGTTCCATACCCAGGAAAGCATTTGTGATTGAATAATGCAGCTTGCACAAAACCCCTTTAGATAGAGCAGTAAAACAAGACAGTAATTGTACTCTCTGGTTTCTCTAGGCCTCTGAGCTCCTAAGGGAAATGTGCATGAACAACATGGTGTGGAAGTATTGCCGTAGAATTAACCCTGAATGGAAGCAACAGGTAACATTTGCTAAAGTATAACAAAACAGAGCATTTTTATCTCATGTGGCATGTATTCAGATGTTTGCAAATTTTCCCTTACAGCAAAAGCTGTAATGTGCAGTCTTTAGATCAGCCTTTTTTCAACCAGGGTTTAATGATACCCTTGGGTTCCTGCTGAGGTTGCAAGGGGTTCCTTGAGCAGTGGTGGATTGATTTCCTACTTGACGGTAATGCATAGCTTTGGCATCACGGTCACTCAATAGAACCAGTGATGTGGGACCAATGGAACCTCTACTCTCATGTCTCTCATCTCTCAGATAAGTAAAAATGAAACTGAAAGGAGGTCCGAGAAGGCAGCAATGCAATTAATCAGAGATTTATTTCAAATTAAAGGCACAGGTACACTGCTAATGCCCTGATGTGTTTTGCAGGTGCCTAATCATGTATCATGGTAAACTGCTTACTTGTGGGCTTGCGCATTTCATCTTGCATGAATCTTTGTTTAATTGCATCACTGCATCTCAGACAACCTCAACTGAAATTGTGGCAGCCTCTGTAAGGCTGAGGCTTTTAGAGAGCAGCTGCATGTGAATGGAGCCCCTGGATGCAGCACGGTCATCTTGTTTGTAAGTAACCACTGACTTTTTAGCTACCTGTAAGGGGGGGGGGGGGGCATTCTTTCTACTAAGAACTGGTGGAAGTCAGTCTTCCCATCTACTTTCAATGCAGTGGAGCAATATATTAATATATATTACAACCCAGGACACAACGCCTCTTCATATCCTGTCTTTTGCTTATGTCGTTTTTCGGCCCGCAAGGTTCTTGCTGCAGCACTCTGTAGTTGGATCGGTTGACTGTTGCTGCTGTTGGGCCTGGTGGCACAGTTCTCTTGGCCTAGTTGTTGCCCACCCTTCCATTTCATTGTTTGGGAACGTCCCAACCTCTGTGAATTCTCAGCCTGTGTCCTGTACTATACAATACCGTTAAGAGGAATTTTGATGTGCCTGTAAATTCCATATCTAGGAGTACAGTACAGGACACAGACCAACCCTCCCTTTTTATTCCTGAATTACACTTCATTGTTCGTTACAGAAATAAGAACTCGTGCAGTAGGGTAGGGTAATAGGGGGTTGCCCAAGGGGGTGTAACCTGAAGGTCCAGCCTATAACTCATGGTATATGAATAGTCAGTCTGTGGCCTGTACTGGACTCCAATATATTTAATTTATAGGCTAGTCAAAATTCCTCTTTTGTCAGTTCCTTTATGGCAAAGATTAAGACAGGCTGGCTAAGACATTTATTAGATAATTTCACTGTTTATTAGCTTTGCTGTAAACCAACTTTACCTTTCATTGTACAATATCTGCAGCATGGCAGATGCCTACAGATACTGGATGGAAGCGAGTCTGATGCAGGCAATAAAAGGGAATCTGGTAAAGGCAATTTGAAGTCTAGACAGGCAGCTAAATAAACAAAAACATCTAAATGTGACCTGCCTGAAGATTTGCACTGTGGTCTACAAAACTACAGTTATCCCATGGTGTCTCTTAATGTAAAAGCCATGAAATACAGAAAAGCACCATGCTTGGCAGATCACAAGAAAGGACTAGGATAAATAGATGCATTCCCCAATACCCATTGTATTATTTCCTGTTTATTATGCAGCTTAGTGAGGTGCACATTCCTGTCTTGTCATTTGCAAGTGCAACGTTTTTGTTTACCTTTATTCACCTTAATTGTGTTTTTGATTCTTGTCCTCAAATTTTTCAGCTAATCATTTCTTTTCTTTTTATTTTGATGTTCATAGTTTGTACTGTATTGAATATCTTTTCTCTCTTATCCAGCTGGAACAGAAAGTTGTTGCCAGTGAAATATTCAAGGACAAAAAAGACAATTACCCACAGAGTGTTCCACGACTTTTTATAAACACTCGACTTGGTGAGTGATTTATGGGTGTAGATAAAGATCTGTGAGTCAGAAGTCCATCCCTCTCTTCCCTGAACTTTTTTTTTTACTTGCATAGGTAGAAATGCAAACTGCTTTCTTAAAGTTTCGTTCCTTCATTGCCAGGGATGTCTGTCTTGTTCATCTTTGCATTTTTAGAGTGGTAAAATTAGCGGTTTAAAATTTAGAAAATTAAAACTTTTTAAATGTGTACTTACATGAGGTGGAGATAATAGAAAATTGTTGCATTCGCTTTCTGTTGGAAATTAGCTGTCATTCTTAACACTATTGATGATGATAATAATCGGGTTGCTTTTGGAAACAAACAGTCTTTTTCTATGGTCCATATCGGGCCACTTGTTACATATGTACTTTTCTTTGTTAGCTCTTTAAATACCTGCCTGTATAATGCTGCTGTTTAGAAGGAAGTTCACATGCCTTACTAAATTTTGATCAAGAATTTTTCTGTTTCCTACAACATGTTTTTCCTTTCCAGGAAATGATGAGATCAACACTAAAATTCTTCAGCAATTGGAAAGCCAGACATTAATGGTATATTTTTATTATTACAACTCTGAGTCTAAAGCTGGTTATATACTGGTAGATTTATGAATGAATGTTCATAAAAACATTCATATGAAAATTTTGAATGGTACAATTGACTTGATGAATGGCATTCAAAAAATACTTCCAAAATCGAATATTAAAGCAAACAAAATTTTGACTTTTTTCAAATGAAAATCACATTCACGGATTAAAAAAAAAATTGAGTGAAAATTTTCATCCTGTTCCTTCAAATCTAGCCACAACAGCTGTCAAAAATAAATTAAGATTTGACCCCACTAACGATTAGAAAATTAAAAGACATTTTCAAAATGAGCATTTTTGAGCAAATTCTGCTAGTGTATGACCACCATATGTTACATTCCGAATTAGTGCTCATTTAGTGCTTGAGCAAAAGCATAGCGGAAAGCAATAAAAGAGCTTTACTAAAGGTACGGGAGATACTTACCCTAACCCAAATATGGCTTCCTTATACTTTTTTTTACAGTCTTATTTTTGTCCTGGGTTTATTTTGTTCTCTGTATTTGACGCCTTGGGAAGCTGTGAGCAGTATCCTATAAACCTGAATCATCACAGTGCCCTGCATCAGCTGCTGTCACCCAAACACTGCAGAGCTGATTGCAGTGTATGTATGTGTGTGTGTTATATATATATATATATATATATATATATATATATATATATATAACACACACTGTATTGCCCAAAGAATTGAGACACCCCTCCAAATCCTTGGATTGAGGATATGCATAGAAGAATGTCAAAAAATCCCCCAATCCAAGTGTGCAAAGCTTGTGTCTTACCCAGAAAGGTACTTCAACAAAGTACTGAGTAAAGGGTCTGAATACTTGTATATAAATAAATAAAAGATGGCACTATTCCTATAATGAATAAACTACTCAAACAAAGGCCAAATATATCTCTATAATATCACAATACATACACTATATTGACAAAAGTATTAGGACACCCCTCCAAGTCATTGGATTCAGGTGTTCCAAACACCTCCATGGTCACAGGCGTATAAAACTAAGCACCCTGGCATGCAGACTGCTTTTACAAGCATTTGTAAAATAGTGGGTCGTTCTCAGGAGCTCAGTGAATTCAAGTGTGGTACCATGATAGGTTGCCACCTGTGCAATAAAAGTCCATCCGTGAAATTTCCTTGCTACTAAATATTCCACGGTCAACTGTTAGTGGTGTTCTAACAAAGTGGAAGCAACTAGGGACAACAGCAACTCAGCCAGAAAGTGGTAGGTCGCATAAAATGACAGAGCGGGGTCAGCGCATGCTGAAGCGCACAGTTCGCAGAAGTCGCCAACTGTCTGCAGAATCAATAGCTAAAGACCTCCAAACCTTGTGTGACCTTCAGATTAGCACAACAACAGTGCGTAGAGAGTTTAATGGAATGGGTTTCTATGGCTGAGCAGCTGCATCCAAGACTTAATTCGCCAAGTGCAATGCAAAGCGTTGAATGCAGTAGTGTAAAGCATGCCGCTATTGGACACTAGAGCAGTGGAGACGAATTCTCTGGAGTGATGAATCACGATTCTCTGTCTGGCAATCCAATGGACGTGTCTGTGTTTGCCAGAAAACTAGTACTTGCCTGACTGCATTATGCCAAGTGTAAAGTTTGGAGGAGGGGGGATTATAATGGGGGGTTGTTTTTCAGGGTTTGGCCTTGGCCCCTTAGTTCCAGTGAAGGAAACTCTTAAGGCATCAGCATACCAAGACATTTTGGACAATTTCATTCACCCAACTTTGTGGGAACAGCTTGCGGAGGGCCCGTTCCTGTTCCAACATTGCTGCGCACCAGTGCACAAAGCAAGGTCCACAATGACATGGATGAGCGAGTTTGGGGTGGAGGAACTTGACTGGACTGCCAGTCCTGACCTCAACCCTATAGAACACCTTTGGGATGAATTGGATCGGAGACTGCGAACCAGGCCTCGTCATCCGAAATCAGTGCCTGACCTCACAAATGCGCTTCTGGAAAAATGGTCAAACATTCCCATAGACACACTCCTAAACCTTGTGGACAGCCTTCCCAGAAGAGTTGAAGCTGTTAAAGCTGCAAAGGTTGGGCCAACTCAATATTGAACCCTACGGACGAAGACTGGGTTGCTATTAAAGTTCATGTGTGTGTAAAGGCAGGCGTCCCAATACTTTTGGCAATATAGTGTGTGTGTGTATATCTGTGTATGTATGTATGTATGTATGTGTGCTTTAAGTGTTAAATTGTTGGAATATTCAATCAGTGGACATTCAGTGAGACTGAACTAACTGAGAATATAATATCTCTTAAGTATGCAGTGCCTGTAGTGAAGTATGACAGAAAGGGATACAAGCCCCGAAGAAGACAACTTCTACTCACTCAAAATACTGCCTATCTTGTTGAGGAAGCCAAAATGAAGCAGAGGATTGACTATGCTAATCTGACAGGTATGTGACTCTAATTGCCAGTTTTTAACTCTTCATTGTAAGTCATGAGGAAAATATTCGGTTTAAAACTTAAGACAGTAATGTCAATTCACGAAAACATAATGCATGTGCATGTTACTATTACCAGATTTGGGGAAATTCAATAAAGCATTTGCCAAACTTTTCTGACAATATGGTCCCTATTAAATGACATGTACTGCTTCATGAAAGCCTTACAATAGTTTCCTTAAGAGTTCCTACACACATACAGCGTAAGGTACTTCTCACTTGCACCACTTTTAGGCTCATTTACATGGGCACTTACTGCGAATTCCAAAAGCAAGAATCTGGGAATTTTGCAGCCAGAATGACAGCCGCAATTTTCAGTGTTTGCTTTTTGCCCATGTTGATTCACCCTAACAATGTGTCAGTATGACACTGATAAATTTACCTGACATTTGTTGTGTAGAGGTGTGACAAATCTAAAGTGTATCTTTGACACTCTTCATGAATTCCAGGGATTGTTTTCTAATTTTTTAAAATCAAACCAAAGAGTTGTTTCAAGTGGTGATCAAGTAAATATTCATGCCCTACTAATTCATGATAAATAGAAGCTTTCAAAATCTTTCCAGAAACATAACCATTTCAAAGCAATGCAGTAATCAGACTTTCAAAACCATTGCGTGTAAAATAATTTGTCTGCCTTGTGAGTTAATGCATCTTGCCAATATACACTTGTGTTTATATGTGCATTTATAGATAAATGTTTGCTGGGCACTCTAAAATGTGTTTCAAATTTTGGAAAGCTGTATTAACAGCTCAACTGGGGACCATTGCCCCAGCTTATGATGTTGCTCTGGGTCACTGGAGATGGTGTATGGAAGCTGCTATTGCTGACTTGCTGAATTAATTCGTAAGATCCAAAGCTGTCTCCTTGCTCTTGCCCAGAGAATCACCAGCCTGGTATACATATGTGAAGGATGTCTGTGAAGCCAGTCTTGTTCCAGTTTCAGGTCCTGAAGCTTGCACCTCTAAAGACAAGTCAGCAATGGCAGCTTCTATATTTCTATCCTGAAAGTTTCCCTTTGATGGTTAATGGTGTATTCTCTAAAACAAGATGTCTTGCACTGTTTAGGCTATTTTTATGTTGGTTATTAGAAACTTTACTTTTAATTGGTGATCCAATTAATATCTGTTTGCTAATTGGATTTGGCTCACCTCTGTAAAAATTGTTTTTTGCATCATTGGCTGACAGATTGTCATTAATCGTGCTTTTGAACTTTTCAGTGTCAGTCTGTTCTCTGAAAAACTGGGGCAATATTGTCTTTTAGTTTCATGTACTGTCCTCATCTGAGCTCTGTCCATAATGAATCATGTTGTCATGGTCCCCAATCACAAAACATTTTGTTTTTGTCTTATTTGTTGGACCGAATGTTATATGACACAGTTTGCACAAGACTGGTGTTGGTTTTGTATTCATTGTGAATTTTCTTCCCCATGCCCAATCATCTGATGTCTGCACAATTAATCCACAGTCTCAACATCTCAGCCAACTTCCATTCCAGTGACTCACCTGGATTGGATTTACACAAGCAAAATCTGTAGCATGTGCTTAGCAGGAATCTGATCTTTTCCAATGCTACATTTATGTAAATGTTATTGTAAAAAACTTTTGTCTTCATCGTTTGGGATCTAATGTTACTTACTTTTTAACAAGATATACACATCTTTACAAGTAAAAATTAATTTTTATTCAGGCACCAACATTTCATTTAAGCTGAATACATTTTATCACTGGTGGCTTTCAAGTTGTGAAACAGAACCAAACCAATATAGTATATTATTGACTGTATAAACACAGATTTTACTTTAAAGCACCTTAGTGCCTTTTCTAGGAATATTCCACAATTTTGTAATTTGTCCAACGATGTTCCTGTATAGACTGAATCTTTTCAAATTATCTTGCATCATTGTCTGTGTCAGATTTACTGAGATTACTGCACATTAGCATCAAAATACTTTAATATATGCACCAACCTGTTTTGTATAAACGAAAAATGAGATTGCCTTACTGGTGAGTGTCCCTTTCTCAGTTTATACATACTAGGGCCAAAATTTGAACCTGTGGTAAAGGCAGATGGACATGATAGAAGTCAGATGCTGAGTTGTCTGCAAATTCATTACATTGTCTCCTGATCTGGTGGGATTATAGAACAATTTCAGGTAAAGGAGACAGATTATTGATGGTTTAACCACTTGAACTCCAGGAGATTTTACCCCCTTCATGACCAGAGCCTTTTTTTTTTCTATTCAGCACTGCGCTACTTTGGTGATGCATAGTCATGCAACGCTGTACCCAAATGAATGTAATTTTTTTTTTCATTCAAATAGAGCTTTCATTTGGTGGTATTTTTTTTTTTATTCTATAAATTAAAAAAGACCAAACGTTTTGAAAAAAAAAATATTTTCAACTTTCTGTTATAAAACATATTCAATACAAAAAAATCTAATTTCTTATATTTGGGCCAAAAATGTGTTCTGCTACATATCTACAAACTATGGTGTATTTATATTGGAATTTATATAGCTATGACTCTATAATGCTAATGGCGGTGATCAGTGACTTATAGTGGGACTGTGATAGTGTGGCAGGCCGTGTGGCGCTAGCTGACGCTGGCTGGGAGGAACACTAGCTGACGCTGACATCAATAGTGCCACTAATACAATGATCAGTGCTAATACTGCACACAGTCACTGTATTAATTACACTGGCTGGGAAAAGGTTAACATCTAGGGGTAATCAGAGGGTTAACTGTGTGCCTAACAATTTGTAATATGTGGTGCTTTGACCAATAGATGTGGCTGGTTTTTCTCCCTGCTTTGCAGGGAGAAGAAACGGCCACATTGCTGCTCTGTGTACAGAGTCCTGTGTTGTTTTTAAACATGGGGCTCTGTGCTATGATCAGACACAGTCGATCATCAGGTCCCAGCCATAAATCATTGGCTGGGACACACTGACAAAATTGCACTGTGTCCAACCACAGCGTTGGTCAGCAGTGAGGGCTCGCATGTGCGCCTCCGAACTGGAAACATGCTCATTTTAAGTTGCTGAGCCTGCAACTGCCACCCTGCTATAGTAAATCTACTGTGTTGAGGCGGAAAGCTGATAATTGGTAACAAATTTTATTGTACATACATCATAAAGGTGTTAGCCAAATAAACTGATGAAAACCAAATTTTGCAAAGGTGTCCCTTATTTCTAGTAATTAGTTTTTACAAAATATAATTGCACACACACAGAGGTAATATATAAAAATCCTTAATATGTTTTGCATATCTGATTTTCTGGATACAGCCCAATTTCTATCAATTGAATCCATCTGAAAACCTTACATAAATCAGCATAAATATATAAGTATACCCTAAAGCATGATTACATTGAGAACATATTTTGCCAAAATAAATTCCTGATTCAGTCTTCTAAACTCCTTTTTGGAGCAGTTAATCAGAATGTATTGCAAAAAGTGTGTGTAAACATGCCATGGCTGCTGTAGCATAATAAGTTTGCGTTCTACTATATGTGTATACTTGTCTATAGCATTATTCAGCAGTATATAGTAACCAAACAATTACGTATATTTAGATACTGAAAAAATGACACTCTTCTTTTGACAATTACATTAATAAAAGATATCCAAACATTCAATACACTTAAAAGGAGAGATTTATTGCTGTCAAGTATGACATAAGTGAAGGCTGATAAACAGGCCAACTCTATTGCCTTAAAAATGGGGTGCAGTTCTCTGTAGATATAGTCCCCTGCTAAAACGTGTGACAGGCTTTATCATATTTCTTGGGGAAACCCCTATGTTCAAAAATAAGCTTTTCATATGGTAATATTTGGATTACCAGTTGCATCCGTTTGCGCATAGAGGGGTGAGTAGACAGTGTTAGACTTGCGAGCTAAAAATGCATCCCACAGCATAATTCTAACATATCTCAGCCATTGTTCCTCGTCTAAAATACCCAATAGGCACACTGTTGGAGTGCAGATAGTATAGTCGATAGAGGGTGAACTACTTGATGCCAATATCTAACAATAGCGGAGCATAAACAGGGAAGCCACAGGGAGACAAAGAGGGTTACCTATAATGACTATAATAGCATAATAGCAGTTGGATGGTAAAAATCGTCCAGTATTCGGTATGTCAATCTCAAAATTGACATATAGCTAACACATGAAACGACAAACACAGGACATACAAAAAGGCATTCTAAACAAAAACGTCCGGACGTCCAGTTAGTTTCGTACATATAGAAAAACCGCAGCAAAAGCTGCTTGTGGGCAATCACAACTAGTGCACTTCAGGTCAGATATTCGGTGCATAGTGTGAAGTCTGACCGGGGTTAAGTAGGATTGATGCAACATATAGAAGCTTATATTAGCTTCTTTGTGAAGAGGGGAATACATGTAGATGGGGAGCAAGCTTTGTCCCAATCCTCATCTGTGAGATTAGGAGTGAATTGCCATTTTCCCAATGGGGTTTCGTTAAGCATAGCATAAAGCAAATGGGAATACACTTCAGGGATCAAACCCTTAGGTCCCTAAGACTAATATTCCTATCAATGGGTAATTAGAAAATCTTATTGTAGTATCACTGAAATGTGTGTGCAAAGCATGCCTAAACTGTAAATCCCTACAAAAAGCAGTATGGGGAAGGTCATACTTTATTTGTAATTCCTCGAAGGAAGCCAAAACATTATTAGTGTATAGTAAAACATCCAAGAGTTTACACATAAGTGCAAACAAAGCATAAACATCAGTGAAACAGTAATAAAGTCCATACAGTGTAAAATATAAGTGCTGGTGTAAATCACAAAAAATGTGACAAAATACAGTCCATATATGTGCCAGTGATACTGCAAGACACAAAACAGCAACGTATCCACCTAATCATATCTGCATTTTCATCAGCTACCAATGACGTTATGCCTGAACTTTTTTTTTCGGTTACATCCGCAGCAGCAGTATTCTGGGGATCACAGGCCATTATTTGTGGATGCTGGTAAGTGCAAACCGAAAAAAGGGGTTCAGGCATAACGTCATTGGTAGCTGATGAAAATGCAGATATGATGATCCTTCCTGAATGCTGCAAGAGGTCCAGATTGCTTACAGAACCCCAGCCTCTTCGGATTGATGGAGTCCTGCAGGTGCAGCAGCTGATACATAATCCTAAAACCCCTCATATACAGAATCACTTTGCATATGGACACAGACTAACTGCTTTTATTTCAGAATAACAGAAGGTTCTTAGACTATTGTAAATATTGACCATCGATCATTGCTACTATACCAGTAGCATTCTGGTGAGTGCATAATGGTGGTGGAATGGTCATTGGATCCCTTGGCACTGTTTTGGAGCTGGATACGTTGCTGTTTTGTGTCTTGCAGTATCACTGGCACATATATGGACTTTATTTTGTCACAGTTTTTGTGATTTAACCAGCACTTCTATTTTACACTGTATGGACTTTCTTTACTGTTTCACCAATGTTTATGCTTTGTTTGCACTTATGTGTAAACTCTTGGATGTTTTACTATGTGATTTAGCGCTGCACTTTATACACTTTTGTTACTGTGAGATGTATTGTCATGGTCTCCTATTCTAGCTGCTTTTTGCTATATACAGTGCTAGCCATTTATTATCTCGATATTATTAGTGTATACATTATCTAAAGTAGTAATACCTTTATGTTCCCAAAAGGGACTATCTGTAAATTGTTGCAGGTGAGGAAACAGAGGATTGTTCCAAAGCGATAAAAGTCAATAAAAGTAAATATTAGGGAGCGCCATACCAGCTTCAGTTTTTGGCCATTGCAATATAGAAAGCTTCAACTTTTGCCTATTGTTGGCCCAGATAAAGGATGTAAATAATGCTTCTAAAGTTTTGAAGAATGATTTGGGTACTGAGCCTGGCATATGGGATATATAGACACTTGGGTAAAAGAATCCTCTTTATTAGATTGATTCTGCCTGCCACGGAGAGAGGAAGTTTTAAGCTTAACCTTAACTACTTGAAGGGGATCCAGAATGCTATGGATCATTTTTTGTATTAAAAAAAAAAAATTTGTAACAGTGATTGTTATGTGTTGCAGGAATTTCTGTCAGCAGTCTGAGTGACAACCTGTTTGTTCTCCATGTTAAATGTGAAGACAACAAACAAAAGGTACAGTCTTCGATTCTCCTCTATTCTCAAAATAATGTTATAAACCATGTTTATATACAGTGCATTCATAAAGAATTTACACCCCCTTCATTTTTTTTATTTTTTTATGCTGCAGCCTGACAAAGTGAGAACAGAATTTTAGAAATGTCTGAATTTATTAAAAAGAAAAAAATTAAAAAACACTTGAAATTTAACTCAGTTGTCATCCATTCTCCTAATCATTGCTGAAATGTTTGTACACCTTGGTTGGAGTCCACCTGTGGTAAATTAATTTGATTGGACATGATTTGGAAAAGCACATACCTCGTAATAAAACGGCCTCAGAGCTGACAATGCATACTGTTTAAGAGCAGAAGCCATGAGGTCAATGGAACTGCTTGCATAGTTCAGAGACCTGATTATTGCAAGGCAAAGATCTGGGGAGATCTGCAAAAAAATTCTGCACTGAAGGATCCCAAGAGCACTGTGACCTCCATAATTCTTAAATGGAAGTTGTTAGGCGAGCTGGTCACCCAGCCAAACTGAGCAATTGGGGAAGAAGGGCCTTAGTAAGAGAGGTGACCAAGAAACCCAATGGTCACTCTGAGCTCCAGAGATCCTGTGTGGAGATGGGACAAAGTTACAGAAGGACAACCATCACTGCTGTATATTGTAAAGCACTGAGAAAACTGTTGGCGCTATATAAATCCTGTATAATAATAATAAAGCATACAGTGCGCAGAAGTCGCCAACCGTCTGCAGAGTCAATCGCTAAAGACCTCCAAACGTTATGTGGCCTTCAGATTACCACAACAAAAGTATTTAGAGAGCTTCATGGAATGGGTTTCCATGGCCAAGCAGCTGCATCCAAGCCTTACATCACCAAGTGCAATGCAAAGTGTCGGATGCAGTGGTGTAAAGCACGCCGCCACTGCACTCTAGAGCAATGGAGATGTGTTCTCTGGAGTGACCAATCACGCTTCTCTGGCAATCCGATGGACATGTCTGGGTTTAGAGGTTGCCAGGCAAACAGTACTTGCCTGGCTGCATTGTGCCAAGAGTAAAATTTGGTGCAGAGAGGATTATGGTGTGGGGTTGTTTTTCAGGGGTTTGGCTTGTTCCCTTAGTTCCCCTGAAGGGAACTCTTAAGGCATCAGCATACCAAGACATATTGGACAATTTCATTCACCCAGCTTTGTGGGAACAGCTTGCGGAGGGCCCGTTCCTGTTCCAACGTGACTGCGCATCAGTGCACAAAGCAAGGTCCATAAAGACATGGGTGAGTGAGTTTGGGGTGGAGGAACATGGCTGGCCTGCGCAGAGTCCTGACCTCAACCCAATAGAACACTTTTGGCATGAATTGGAGCGGAGACTACGAACCAGGCCTTGTCATCCGACATCATTGCCTGACCGCACAAATGCTCTTCTGGAAGAATGGTCAAACATTCCCATAGACGCACTCCTAAACCTTGAGAACAGCCTTCCCAGAAGAGTTGAAGCTGTAAATGCTCTAAATGGTGGGCCAACTCAATACTGAACCCTACAGACTGGGATGCCAATAAAGTTCATGTGCGTGTAAAGGCAGGCATCCCAATACTTTTGTTAATATATTGTATGTGAATATACCATAGTGTTAAAAAATGAATTTAAATGTCCATTAGTCAAAGTCCCAATCACCCTGTTAAGAAGCAACTCGGTAGGTGACAGTTTCTTCTCTCCAATATAGTGACCCACCATGTGTAAGTGAACTGCACATTCACAAGACACTTAAGGCTACCAAGCAACCTAAATGCATTCTGGACAAAATCCCGAGAGATGGATCCGATATTCTTAAACGCCTTCTCTCTGTGTGTATCATCTCCTTAGCATCATAAGTAAAAAGCCATGAGACCACACTTAAGTACATGTGTTATTTCCATTTTTCTTTTTTTAATAAAGTCAGACATTTTTTAAATGCTGTTTTCACATTGTCATTATGGGGTACTGAGTGTAGATTAATGAGAAAAAATAAATTTAAACTAGTACCAGGTTGCAACATAACAAAATTGAATACGTTATGAATGCACTGTATGTTTACAGACTTTGTTTTCTGGATTCATTAAAAGTATTTCTTCATTATCCATTTTATATTAGTGCAGTTATGTTATTTCAAATGTGAATAACTGATAGCTGTCATGTAATGCAGCAATGTAGCACCTACTGTGGTAGCTGTTATTTGTATTTCTACTTTTGCAGACAAATTCGGATAACACCTACTTTATATTTGTTACCTGTTCTCATCCACATAGCATAACTTTAAGCAAGTAGTTAAAATTTGTTGTTTTTTGTTTTTATTTACTTTTACCCCTGAACTGAATTTTTTTGTGAAAGGCAAAAAAGTTAATGTATTGTGTACCATAGATAACCCTGTCTGTACTGTGCAGGCAAATCTTCATTATTGGTTGCGCACTAAATTTGGTAGTGGTCTGTCCTGAGAAAGGGTGAACATTTTTTTTTTTTTTTTTAGATGCTGAGTTTCACCATTGTGTGTTAATGAGGGCTCAGTGAACCCCTAGTTCGTATGGGGACAGCGGCACTGTGAGGCTGTTCACAATATGCCATGAGGCCTTCTCAGGGACAGCTAAAAGATGAGATTTGTTTTTTAATTCGGGTATGATGCGTGAATAGGAATACATATCAAACATATAATGGGGTTTTTACAAATTGGACTGCAAAAGTGGACATACACTTTCAGGATTTTACATTAGTATATTGGAGGCTGATGGTTCTGTTGAGCTTTCTGGAACTCTGAGAAGTAAATCTGTTATAAGAGCTGTGAAAACTGTTGATGATATATAAATTTATAATAGAAATATGGAAGCTGCCATTGCTGACCTGAAAATGCTAGTTACCAGGCTGGCACGCTGAAACTTTGGCTTTATTCCTTTACATCACTGACAAGTGTGTCAGAAAACCTTTTCTGCATATTTTATCTGGGACAGTGACTCTGTGTTGATTTAAGGGTATCACCATGATAGATGTGCAAATGGCATTCTTAGAAGGAGATGTGAGCTACAGTGGATATAAAAAGTCTACACACCCCTGCTGAAATGTCAGGTTTCTGTGATGTAAAAAAATGAGACCAAGATGAATCATTTCGGAACCTTTTCCACCTTTAATGTAACCTATAAAAACTGTACAACTCAGTTTCCCACATGCGTTTTGGAGACTTCAGATGTGTTTTTGCAAAATGTATCCGGGCTTGGATGTTTTTCTTCATAAGAAAAGGCTTTCGTCTTGCCACTCTACCCCATAGCCCAGATATATGAAGAATACGGGAGATTGTCGTCACATGTACCACACAGCCAGTACTTGCCAGATATTCCTACAGCTCCTTGAATGTTGCTGTAGGCCTCTTGGCAGCCTTCCAGACCAGTTTTTTTCTTTTTGTCTTTTCATCAGTTTTGGACGGACGTCCATTTCTTGGCAATGTCACTGTTGTGCCATGTTTTCTCCACTTGCTGACTACTGTCTTTACTGTGTTCCATGGTATATCTAATGCCTTTAGAGATTCTTTTGTACCCTTCTCCTGACTGATACCTTTTAACAGTGAGGTCCCTCTGATGCTTTGGAAGCTCTCTGCGGACCATGGCTTTTGTTGTAGGATGCGACTAAGAAAATGTCAGGAAAGACCTACTAGGACAGCTGAACTTTATTTGGGGTTAATCAGAGGCACTGTAAGTGATGGCAGGTCTGTACTGACTCCTATTTAACATGATTGTGAATGTGATTGCTTAATTCTGAACACCGCTACATCTCCAGTTATAAGAGATTTCTTTTTAGACTTTTTATATCCACTGTATAGAAATCTTTTTCATTTGTATGTGCTAGCAGTCCAGTTAAAAGGAGTTGGGGACACCAGTTCCCTTAACTGTCTTCAGATGGGATAGTGTGTCGCACCTAATGCAGCACAGCAGGAATTGTCCAAGAGGTCATATTTGCAGATTTGGATGGCTGTGAGATCACGGTCCTTAAAGAATAAGTGCACTTTAATACAAATTGCACTGATTCTTTTTGCCCCTCTTTGCTGACCTAACCTATTCTACCCTCCCCCTCCACAGATGCCTACTTACCTAGATCTGAAACCCACACAGGCACAGGCCCCTGTGTTGATGGCTAGCGCCACAAGCCTTCTGATCCCGGTCGTGCCCGCACAGTAACAGTAGAGCCCCATAGAAGTCTTAAGGGCTCAACTCTGCAGACGCGGCCAGGGAGAGAGGACTTACAGCGCTAAATATCAACAAATACTGGAGGCTGCAGGCGTCTGATCTCGGTAGGTATGCATCTGTGGAGGGGGAAGGGTGATATCGATTAGGTCAGTGAAGGGAGGCATAAATAATTCTCTTTGTATGAAAGTGTGCTTGCTCTCAAGGCCTTGTTTTAAATTTGCTTTGCTGTCTGCAGATCGAGCTTCAGACAGCTGGTGAGGAGGCATTGTATCACTGCCTCAGTTTGTTTTAACCCCCTAATTACTGGACAACCATGCACTTTGTGCGTGGTTGTGGGGTGGTTGCCGTGTGCCACCATCCACTTGAATGGGTCGCTCTCGATGGGCAGTAGCACCCGCTGAACACAAGGGGTATAATTTCTGCCACATCTGGAAAGCATTGTGCCGTGGCATGTGTGCTTCAGCAGCAAATGAGAGCAGTAAAAACACAGCTCAACAGCAGAGTTTTATTGTCCCTCAATCACAAATGTAAATGAGGCCTAAGAGTCAAAGTGGGACCACAAACCTACATAGCGTGCTACATCTCTTCATACATGTGTATGTCAAAGGGGACCCTCTGTAGTACAACTCACTGGTAAAGTTGCTGCAATTAAATCTGAAACTGCTGTACTACTAAAAATAATTTAAAGGATATCCATTGACTGTATACACTAACTTCTACATATGGAATCACTGTCTCACTATTAATCATTTAGGAAGATCATGAGAGCATACTGTATGGATTTTATACAATATTCCAGTGGACTCCTAGAGCTTCCTATGTAATACACACTAAACCTAAACCAGTATTGTCTAATCATCATCACTTTTGTTTTCAGGGAGATGCAATTCTGCAGAGCGACCATGTGATTGAGACACTGACAAAAGTTGCCATAACTTCTGAGAAAATCAATAATATCAACATTAATCAGGGCAGGTATGTGTAGACTACCATTTTTTTATATTGTCACCAACATAAAATACATTCATAAGTAAAGACGTACAATAGCTGCAGTCGGTTCGAGACTTACCTGATGTTCAAGTGAACACTAGGGATCCAGTGCCACCGACACATGAATGATACTGGACTGGGCCACAAATGCAAGGATCCAAGATGATCACTTGCTGGTACCATGCAGCTAGTAAGCTGTGATGTTTCTACCTTTTACACCATTTTGGTGCTACTTCTAAATAAAAACAATAGTGGAGCCTATCCCACTCCCCACTATGGCTATTGAAAGTCTCCATGTGGCTTGGCTTTATGGGTAACATATAAGGTAAGTTAGATAATAATGCTGATCATGAAAAAAAAAAACTGGGATTTTCGTTAAAGGTACATCACTTTAGACATAACATTTACCTATCAAATCTACACATTTATTATACAAAAAAGTAAAAACAAACTGATAAGCTTAATGGCTGGTACTATTTATGCACACTGTATTCTACACCATTATCCTGAAAGATAAGAAAGCTTAACCACTTTAATACCAGACACTTTTACCCCCTTCCTGTCCAGGCCAATTTTCAGCTTTCAGCGCTGTCGCAGTTTGAAGGACATTTGCGTGGTTATGCAATGCTCTGCCCAAACTAAATTTTTTTTTTTTAGAATTTTGTTCAAACAACTAGAGCTTTCTTTTGGTGGTATTTAATAACCACTGAGTTTATTTTTGCTAAATGGCAAAAAAAAAAAAAAAGACCAAAAATTTTGAAAAACACATTTTTCCTTCTGTTAAATAAAATTTGCAAATAAATAATTGTAAATTTAGGCCAAGATGTATTCTGCTACATTGCTTTGTTTTAAATAAGTTCGATTCCACAAACTATGGTATATATCTGAAAATTGATCAATCCTGAAGTACTGATGGCCAATCCAATTTCTTGAGGCCCTAATATGTCAGGACAGTCCAGATATCCCCCAAATGACCCCTTTTTGCAAAGTAGACAGTCTGAGGTATTTAGTAAGAGGCATGGCGAGTTGCTTGATGTTGTAATTTATTTTGTCATAATTTTTTGAAAAATGAATAAATTATATAATATATATAAAATTATATAATTTTTTTTTTTACATACTGTCACCAGTGCAGTACAGTGTCATCACATAACTGGTGTGGTGGTGATCAGGGACACTGGTGACAGAAGGCAGCAATTGCTATCATCTCCCTACTACTGCTCTCATCACCCCCAAAATGCCTCTTCTACTCCTCATTTTCCTCTCCTCCATTCCCAAAATCCATTCACTATATCCCTCTGCTCCTCCTAAACATTTGTATATTGTGTCCTCACTGCTTCCTTCGCCCCTCTATGGCACCCACCACCTCCTCCTATTATTCCACTCTCCCACTGACCCGAACACCTCCACTAGGAGTTTCTCACGCTCCTGCAATCCCGCTCCCATGCCACCTTTCTCACCCTTCTCCTCCTCCTAGCCACGGGAGACATCTCCCCGAATCCTGGCCCTCCACCACCTCCCTCACCCGCACAACACCCTCCCGCCTCCATGTCCTACCGCAACCCCCGCAACCTAGTATCTGTCCCCCTGCTCCCTAAAATCTCCCCCCCGTTTTCATGTGCACTCCTGAACGCCCGATCGGTGTGCAACAAGCTTACCGCCATCCACGACCTCTTTGTTTCCCGCTCCCTCAACCTCCTGGCGATCACGGAAACCTGGATCCAGCCACTGACTCTACCTCCCCTGCTGCACTCTCCTATGGAGGTCTCACCTGGACCCACTCACCCAGACCTAACGGTCGTAAAGGTGGTGGGGTTGGTCTGCTCCTGTCACCGCAGAGCACCTTCCGAGTCCTCCCAAACCCCCCCTCCCTCCCTATCCTTCTCCTCCTTCGAGGTCCACTGCGTCCGACTATTCTCCCCAACCCCCCTGAAGATTGCTGTGATATACCGGCCTCCTGGATCCATACCCCGCTTCCTGGAAGACTTCTCCTCCTGGCTACCCTTCTTCCTCTCCTCTGAGCTACCCACCATCATTCTTGGGGATTTCAACATCCCTGTCAACCTTAACAACCCGGACACAGCCCGTCTCCTCCACTTAACCTCCTCCTTTGCACTTGCACAGTGCATACAATCCACCACCCACTCCGACGGTAATATCCTTGATCTTGTCTTCTCCAACCGCTGCGCTCCCCACAACCTCACTAACACCCCCTTCCCTCTCTCTGACCACAACCTGATCACCTTCTCTATCTCCTCGTCCTCCAATGCCTACCCCTCCAAATGTCACACTACTACCAGCCGTAACCTCCGCAACCTTAACCCTGCCCCCCTCCACTCTGCAGCTGATCAACTCCACGACCGCATCCTCCCCCCTGTCCTGCCCCGACTTGGCTATGACTGCCTACAACAACGCGCTGTCAGCAGCCCTTGACTCACTAGCGCCTTTAACCACACGCAACATCAGACTCCGACCGCTCCAGCCCTGGCAGACTGATCACACCAAAAAACCCTCAAACGACGCAGTCGTGCCCTGGAGCGACTATGGCGCAAAACAAAATCCCAACAAGCTTTCACCTGCTACAAATCTGCCTTCCGCACCTACACCTCCTCCCTCCACGCAGCCAAACAAGCCTACTTCCTGACCCTCATCAAGGCCCTCTCCTCCAATCCTCGCCGACTCTTCTCCACCTTCAACTCTCTACTCTGTCCACCCCCACCTCCACCCAGCACCTCACTCACCGCCCTTGAGATTGCCAATCACTTCAAAAACAAGATTGACACAATTCGCAAGGACATTGCCGCAACTCACACGCCCTCTCAACCCGTCCCCTCTCACACAGCTACCCCATCATCATCCCCCCCCCCCCCTCGACATTACCCGCAGGGACTTCGTCGCTGCTCAAACTCCCTCCAACCCCCTTCCCCCTCACTTAGCTACCCCCCTCTTCACCCCTCTCCCCACGGCCTCACCACTGCTCTGACCTCCTCTCCCACCCCACCCTACATTCCTCATACTGAAGCTCCCCCAACACTCCGCACCTTTGACCTTACTACCATCGAGGAAGTCTCCAAGATCCTCTCTGATGCCAGCCTCACCACCTGCCCCCTCTCGACCCTATCCCCTCACAATTCCTACGACCTCCCTCCCCCTCCATCCTACGCTCCCTCACCCACATCTTTAATCTCTCCCTCTCCTCCGGCACTTTCCCCTCCCCACTGAAGCATGCACACATCACCCCCATACTTAAAAAAAGCCTCCCTGGACCCCAATGACCCGAACAACCTCAGACCCATCTCCCTGCTCCCACTTACATCTAAACTCCTCGAGCGCCTCGTCTACACCCGCCTATGCTCTCACCTCAACGACAACAACCTCCTCGATCCCCTACAGTCTGGCTTCCGCCCCCTACACTCCACCGAAACCGCCTTACTCAAACTCTCCAACGACCTTCTAACCGCCAAAGCTAATGGCCACTATTCAGTGCTCCTACTCCTTGACCTCTCTGCGGCCTTCGACACAGTTGACCACCCCCTCCTCCTCAAAATACTACACTCCCTCGGCCTCAGAGATTCTGCTCTCTCCTGGCTCTCATCCTACCTGTCACAACGCTCTTTCAGCGTTACCTATAATGCTACCACCTCCCCCTCACTCCCCCTCTCTGTTGGGGTCCCTCAAGGCTCTGTCCTTGGGCCCCTTCCTCTTCTCTTCTCCATCTACACCTCCTCCCTTGGCCAACTCATACACTCTCACGGCTTCAACTACCACCTCTATGCCGACGACACACAAATCTATCTCTCAACCCCCCACCTCACCCCCTCGGTCTCTGCCCAAATCACACACCTACTGAGCGCGACCTATCAGATTGGATGTCGCTCCACTTCCTTAAACTGAATCTCTCCAAAACCGAGCTCCTTGTCCCTTCCCCCCAGCCCGAACCCCACCCCCCATTGACTTCTACATCACATCCAACAACGCCAATATCAAACCCGCTCTGCAGGCCAGAGTACTTGGTGTCATTCTGGACTCCAACCTATCCTTCCAGCCCCAAGTCCAATCTTTAACAAACTCGTGCAGACTCCCACCTCCGCAACATCGCCAAAATCCGCACGTTCCTAACCCCAGAAACCACTAAACAGCTCATCCACTCCCTCATCATATCACGACTCGACTACTGCAACTCCCTCCTCACTGGCCTGCCTCGCCGCTGGCTATCCCCCGCTTCAGTCCATCCTGAATACGGCTGCCAGACTCATTCACCTTTCCAAACGCTCCGTTTCCGCCACCCCCCCCCTGCCAGTCCCTCCACTGGCTTCCGATTGCGCAACGGATCAAATTTAAAATCCTAACACTGACGTACAAAGCTGTCCACCATACTGCCCCGAACTACATCACTGACCTAATATCCAAGTACCGCCCAGCACGCACACTCCGCTCCTCACAAGACCTCCTTCTCTCTAGTTCCCTGTCTCCTCCTCCCATGCCCGCCTCCAGGACTTCTCCAGGGTGTCACCCATCCTCTGGAACTCCCTGCCCCAACCCATCAGATTATCACCTACTCTCCTCTCCTTTAGGCGCACCCTGAAAACCCATCTCTTCAGGGAAGCCTACCTCACCCCCTGCTTACTTGCTGACCTCCCTCCACTCTTCCTACCCACTCCATCCCCCACAGCTATCTCCTCCTGTACCACTATCCCATCCCTTCTAGATTGTAAGCTCGAAAGAGCAGGGCCCTCGATCCCCTCATGTTTTGCATTGTATTGGTATTGTTCTGTCACATGTTCTGTCCCCCTTTGTAATGTACAGCGCTGAGTGAACTATTGGCGCTTTATAAATACTGTATATAATAATAAATAATGTGAGTGGATGTGCGGGCTAGAGCTCTCCTTTCCCATCCTGAATTCCTCCATCCTACATTGGGACACATCCTGATTTACCGGGTTAGATTGTCACTCCTCTGACTCGACTGGATATCTTGGTGCCGG